TGGTAAAACCCCGTCTCTACTCAAAATACAAAAATTAGCCGGGTGTGGTGGCACGCGCCTATAATTCCAGCTACTTGGGAAGCTGAGGCAGGAGAATTGCTTGAACCTGGGAGGCGGAGGCTGCAGTGAGGTGAGATCTCGCCACTGTACTCCAGCCTGGGTGACAGAGCGAGACTCGGTCTCAAAAAAAAGGCCTTTGCTTTAATAGCCTTTTTCATTTTCACCATTATAACACTTAACACTTTAACATTATAACTAACCAGGAGTAAGAGTTGGGGCCGAGAGGAGAGTGCAGTCTGCATATTTGAGGTGCTTGCTCTAAAGTAGATTATGGAGCTGAGCTGACTTCAGAAAAAGCCAGCTGCTCCAGGTTCTCTCACTGGGGTTCAGAGAGTGGAGTGGCCTGCCAGAGTTCCAGGTAGCTGTGGATGCGGGGAGATGAACAGCCAGCAGAGCTAGGGAAACATGAAGATGTAAAACCAGGTTAAAATGGCAACTTTTCACCCAAGGACATGATAGGTGCATGTTGTGACCCCAGGGCTGCCCCAGGAGGGGCCTGTGTCCTCCTGCATTGGTGGGGCTGTGTCTTCAGGCATTAGAAACTTGAGGGCCTTTCCTTGTTAATTCCAGGTTGTACTGCTAGCACACAGAGCAGAGGCAGGGAGGAAGTGGCATTTATAGGCAGTCCATGAATGACCGAGTGGGAGCTGCCCAGGTGATGCTGTGAGGCAGGGCCTTCCTGTGCTCCCTGAACCTCCAGCGCGAACAAGGAGTGAACGCTGCAGAGCAGCTCCACGATGGGCCCAGGTGGCTAAGGGAGGCGCTCACAAGGCCTGTCTTGGTGATGTGGGCCTGGAGTCTTTTAACTCTGGAAGTTTCTGTTTTGCTTTATCTAAATTGAAAGGGTGGTTTTGCCTTTCAGCCTTTAGAAGAAGCCACACTCTCTGAATTAAAAACTGTCCTCAAGAGCTTCCTGAGTCAAGGCCAAGTATTGAAATTGGAGGCTAAGGTGGGTTTTAAATTATTTATGGTATGTTTCCTCAGGTTCTTTTAAACTTAAAATGGCTACAGAAAGTACTAGTGAAATATTAGATCTAACTCTATACTAATTTTTCTGTAGTTAAAAGTTTGTCTTTATTTTAAATGTAAATGATGATCTGACTGTGCAGTTTTACTTTTGCCTTTTTCTAGGTGTAATTATAGCCTCTCACATTTGTGTAGCACATTGAGCCTTTCAGAACACTTGTGTATGTCCCATTTGATGAGTGCGTTTTCACACTTGCCGTCGATTTTCTTTTGTAGACTGATCCGTCAATCATGGGTGGAATGATTGTGCGCATTGGAGAGAAGTATGTTGACATGTCTGTCAAGACCAAGATTCAGAAGCTGGGCAGGGCTATGCGGGAGGCTGTCTAAGTGTTGGTTTTCTGCCATCAGTGAAAATTCTTAAACTTGGAGCAACAATAAAAAGCTTCCAGAACAGGTCATATTATGTTCACTGTCTTTTAAAGTGGAGTGTAGAAGGCTTCATTTTTATGTCCTTTTTTGGTATCCCCTGAGTATAAAGGCCAAAAAGCCCTTTTGGCCTAGAGAATTTGGTTTGAGTAGATTACGTTTAGGAATTAATGGGTTAGACACAGCATCTAACACATGGTCACTCGGCAAAGTCTATCTGGTCCTGCCTGCCAAAATCCCATGTCTTTAAGGGCTTGTTCAGAACTCCTGGTCCCTGCTAGATCGTCGGATCTGTGTTTGCTCCATAGTCCTCCAGGGAGACCTCTTCCTAATAAAATGCCCTTCATCCTGTCATGAACACACCTAGTTGTAGGCTGCTCTGTAGCTTTCAAGGCCATTTCATGTACATCTGAAGCTTTGTAACAGCCTTGTCATATGGGTGGGACAGACATCACCCCACTTTACAAATGAGGAAAGAGATTGAGGGGCCCTGGAGATGTGCTCAGAGTCACCTGTCTGGACAGCTGGTTGTCAGGCCCTAGAGCCCATGTTTGTACCACTATGTAACTAACACCATGCACCAACACGTTACTGGAGCAAATGGACAAAAGTTACCTTAGGTAGGTCCCCTGCCCCTTCCCACTTTGTCCCTAAGATGCTCCCAATTCACCTTTTAACCAAAACCAGTTCCCAGGTCAGCTCTTCCCCTACATTTTACCTTTTGGGCTTCTAGAGAAAATAGAGTTCCCCAGGCAACAGCCCGCTCAGGTGCCTGTTCCTTGGTCAAACTCCAAGAGCTTTTGACCAACAAACCAGTTCCCTTCCCAGAACTACCCCTGGTTGGGCAGAGGCAGGACCATTGCAGCGAGGAAGTTCTCCAGAGCAATGACATGGCCCAGCGCTGCTCCCTACGTGCTCATACTGGGACCAGCATGCCCTCCACGTGACAGGACACTCCTGGCACTCAGGCTTGGCTTCAACTCCGGCTTCCTCCTGGCAAAGTTTTTAATACATGACCACCTAATGTGACAACCAGCGGAGACACCACGTGGCCCCTCAACCTTTCCAGGAACCAGGAGTGCTGAGGCTGCTAGTTGGCCCAAAGACCATTCAGCCACCTTTTAGGTGGGCCTAGGGCTACTCAGCTGGAGACCACATTCCTGAGCCTCTGGCAGCACCTGACCGTGGTGCTGAGTTCTAGCAAATGGGAAAGGAGAGGAAGTGAAGTGTGCCTCCCTGGACTGCCCTCGTGAGCAATCCTTAGTCCATCCCTCTGGCTAGATACAGACAAGATGGCAAGTGATGCCAAGGGCACAGCCACCCTGCCAGGCCTTTCCGCTGCCCCTGGGCTGTTAAACACGATGAAGAAATAGACCCTCTCCAAAGCCACGGGATATTGAGCTCTGTCTTCTGCAGCTGAGTTTGCAACCTAACCACGACCACGCTCCAGCTTCCCCCCGGCCCCCCAGCTCACTGCCTGCCTCCTGCATGCAGTGAGGCCAGATCTGCACAAGGTGGCGTCATACACATAATCACAGCTCTACAGACACGTGATTGCCAGTGGACAAACCGTCTGCCGGAGCCTCATGCTGCTGATACCCAGATCCTTCAAAGTCAAACTCAGCAACCTTCCTGTTGATCAAGCGCATACAATCTCGGGGAATGATGAGGCGCTTCATATGTTGCCTTACAAGGTCACCAGAGAGAAGCCAGAGATCTGTGTACAATGATTTGTTTTTTGAGACAGTCTCATACCATCATTGAGGCTGGAGTGCAGGGGCACGACCATGGCTCACTGCAGCCTCAACCTCCTGGGCTCAAGCCATCCTTCCGCCTTAGCCTCCCAAGTAGCTGAAACTACAGGCAGTGTGACCACACCCTGCTGGTTTTCGTATTTATAGTAGAGACAGGGTCTTGCCATGATGCTCAGGCTGGCTTTAAACTCCTGGGCTCAAGCGATCACTGGCCTCGGCCTCCCAAAGCGCTGGGATTATAGGCGTAAGCCACCACACCCAGCCTACAATGATTTTCTTCACAATATTTTCTTTAAATCGAGGTGAAAGTTTTGCAGTACCTTGTGTATGGGATGTTTTCGATGCATATTAGCTATTAAATAGTACAAGAGGCCGAGTGCAGCCAGGGTGACAAAAGCGAGACTCCATCTCATAAATAGATAGTACAAGAGTATTTAAAACGCACACAGAAAAAATACAGAAGTGAAGTGCATCAAAACGTAACCTTTATTTTTGTGTAGAACATCTCCATTAAGTGATTTTATTTCCTTTGTGTTTTTCTTTCCTTGCTGAATTTTCTGCATTAATAAGTATTACTTCTGTAATGAGAAGAAAAACTAAATATTTGAGAATAAAGTATTCCCTTGATTATGCTGGCTACTAACCATGGTTAAATAGGTATTAATTACATGTTTTCTACCAGTGATTCCATCCACTCTGGGCTCTGTGAGGGGGCCCTCATCAGACTTGGAGCGAACTAGGTATAGTGTGGGAAAGTTAATTATTGCATTTGTTTTTAATGGCATTTAACTTTTATTTTTAAAACAGGGTCTCACTCTGTCACCCAGACTGGAGTGCCGTGGCCTGATCATGGCTCAACTGCAGCCTTGACCTCCTGGACTCAAGAGATCCTCCTGCCTCAGCCTCCCTAATACCTGGGACCATGAGCATGGGCCACCATGCCTGGCTAGTTTTTTATTTTTTGTAGAGACAAGGTCTCACTATGTTGCTCAGGCTGGTCTTGAACTTCTGGATGCAAGCAATCCTCGCCTCAGCCTCCCAGAGCACTGGGATTACAGGTGTGAGCCACCATGTCCAGCCTTAACTTATTTTTAAAACTTCTAATAACAACCAAGAAAAGGGCATAAGATTTTTATGTTTTTCAAACATGGGGCATACTAGTTTTAAAAAGGCAAAGACATACTGCTGTAGGTCAACTTTTAAAAACTGTGCTGTGTAACAATTCAACTAGTGTCCCAGCCAGCTAGAGAATGTAAAGGACTCATTTATAGTCAGTTAAATCAGTGATGAAATAGGTAGGAATGGCCTTAAAACCAGAACAGGAGGAAGCAATCTAATAAAATTCAGTGTTGGGTTTTATAGAACTCAGAATTACAGATCACCCAGGTTCTGAACACGTGGAGTTACGTGTGTTAGAAACTTCTTCCTGGAAATTCAGTGACCCTTCTGAGTGTCTTTATAAGACAATCAGCTTTTTGCACCGCCCCCTCAACCCCAGTCACAGAATTTCTTACGCTGTACAACACAGAACTTCTCCTATTCTCACAAAGACTTTGTACAGAGAAATCTATTTCTGCTTGGTGTTAGCTAACATTTATCTACAGCCATAGGAGAGTTGAAAGGGTTGTGGGTTGGTTTTGTTTTCTAGGTTTATTTCTGCACAATTTTCCTTGCACAGCTACAACCTTATCTGTGGGAAGAGGAAGAGACACCATTTGCAGGGCTCTTAGCTTCCTGTGCGCTCAGAAAAGAGTGAAGCAGAAAGAACCCAAAATAATCCACTATAACAGATTGACTTTTCTCATTTTATTCATGAACTATTTGAGTTTAAACCACACAGGTCAAAATGACCAAAGAGTTGTTTTTTGTTTTTGTTTTTTTGAAGAGATTGTTCTTTTTAGGTTCAAGATACACAGGAACAGCAATTTGTACTGATGTTGCTACTGGTTTAAAGAAAGGTCTCAGTTACCATCATCTGAATGGATAAAATTTAACATTTCACACATAATAAGTTGCCAAAGGAACACTCAGACAGCAAAAACAAACCTCAGCTTCTTCCAAACAAAAAAGAAGAAACAGTGTTTTGGCCCTGCTTCATCAAACCCTTAGACAAATACATAAGTCTACAATTTATAATAGTGTCTAGTAATTCTTAGAATTCCATGAACATTACATATCAGACAATATAGTCTCTCTTTTATGGAAAATTAAACAGTACCATTATTTGGCAACAGAAGTATATTACAATCAACAGCACATCCATCAAGGGGCAGGCCTGGTCCTACCCCTGGGCAGGGCTGTGAGGGGAGCAACTTGCCACCAGCACTGTGGCCCACTTGTCACTGGAAGCACAAGGAGCTCACGTTCTGATGGATTACATTCTTTTCCAAACAGGCAAAGGCTATCTGGGAGGGTTCGCTAGCACTCCTGGGAAGGGAGGGCCCCATGTTCTAGCTTTTCTTGTCCCCAGACTTTTTTGAAACAACCAGGGCCCAAGGGACAGTGACTGGCTGACTTGTTCCCACTCACAGCCCTCTTGCCACCCCAGCCAGAGGGCATCGTTCTAAGGAAGGAGAGTCAGGGCCTGTTTGGGGTGAGTGAACCAGAACTCATCTCTGCTGGCAGGCCTTAGGTGGCCTTCCAAGGCTGTGCCTGAACAAAGAAGCCTCTAAACAGCTCCATCTTTGGGAATAAAGCCAGTTATGAACCACATGGACAGTGCCTCTAAGTGATTTGCAGATCATTCATACACCTCAATAGATTCCAGGAAGCTTCCAGAAATCATGGCTTCCCATACTCCTGAAGTCGGGAGCTTTACCGGTTCGGGCCTCTCAGGAAAGGGGCTCCAGTTGCTGGTTGGCAGCGTTAAGATGCACACAGCCTGTTGAAAGAAATGTTGAAAACCTAACACATTCTTCAGATGTCTTTTCGGACCACAGACCCTCAACCTTCCACCAGCAGTGTCACCCCCAAGTACAATGCGTTCAGATCACCAGAAACCAGCTCTTTTCGTTACTGCAGTATTTCCAGGCTGCCAGGGGAGGCTGGACTCCTGGGGTTGCCCCCTCCTGAAATCACTTCTGAATGCCTCTCTCAGGGGTTTAGACATTGAGTTTCATGGAACCCACCTTGGGTGGCCTAAGGGGCGCTTCTGGTGGCCAAGTACAGAAAGTCTGCGCCCCAGAAGCAGCCTGGACTCCTGATCCTTTTCTGGGAATGGAGAGGGGAGAAAGGCGTCTCCCCCCTGGGGTCTCCAAGGGAACATGGGCATCCAGAAGTCTGCCCCAAAATGGCTTAACCCAGAAACCCTAAACCATCCATCCACCCACCTGGCTGTGCAATAGTTGAAGACGGTGAGGATGCATCAGGAAATTTCATGGAAAACACAAACGCTAATTAGGGATAAACTGAATCAATCCAGATAGAGAAGTAGAAAGGGTGACCTGGAAGTCAGAGTGGGCTCTCCAGTGGGATAGCTGCGTCAGCCCCAGATCCCTAACGAGTCCACTAGAACCCAAGGAAGCCTGCGTGGCACATGGATCTGGTGAAAAACAGGCTCCCGATCCTCTCATCCTTCCTGACACAAGTACCCTCTCGGATATGTGATCTGCAAAAATCCATTTTTAATGCAACACCAAGGTCCCATGCGAGGTCATGGCTACAGGATACTTTTCATTTGATCACACCACCACCCATTACACTGAAATTTTTCATATTTCCTCCAGGCAGGAAAAAAATGACTCCTTTGATTTCTAACATATACAACTTGGATTTTTTTTTAATATAAATTTAGTTGAGTTGAACCCAAGTAATCTGATTAAGCATTTTCTACTCTTGGAATAGGTTTAAAATTTTTTTCTATAGTTTTATGCACTTAAATTAGATTCCTAAAATACTCTCATATACATACAGAAAAATAATCTCTCAATGACAAATCACATTTTACAATAACAAGTGAAATATTTTTGACTACAGAATCTGTGTTAGTTTATGCGACATTTAACAGCATAGCCTCTTACATACCATATATACATTTAGTCATGGCCATTCCGTAAACACACAGCAGAGATTTCATGATGAACATGAAATGAATACAACCTTTTCCCTTTATGTAGTGGGAGTTCGCATTTTTCTTAGCTGGAAACAGCACAGAATGTAGAAAACTGGTATCATCCACGGAACATTTTTGTTGCAGTTTCTCATCTGTACACATGTATTTACACGTAAGTTCACCACTTATACGTGTGACGGTACAAAGCTGCTGGAGCTAAGGCAATACAACATGGGGTGGGCAGGGGCCAACTCCCCTATCTATGCAGGGCCACCAAGGGATAAGAAGGGGCCATGGAGAGCACAGACTCCGGCTTGCGGGGCTACAGCAGACGAGATCTGAGGTTGATTTCACAGTTCAAAGATACTTGGGCTATTGGCCGTGTATGCTTTAAATGCATGTCTAAAATTAAGTAGCATTAACATAGATCTTGCTAAAATATCTACTTTCTGTCACAGTGAATGTTTAGCAGATGACATTTTAAGGATGTTGATTTATAGAATTGTACCTCAAATGTTCATTAAAACTAATTCTGACATGCTATTAATGAAATGCCCCTGGAGAAAGAACGCTTGCAGAACTTCCTGTGGTCTGGAAGATTGCATGACGCACGCAAACAAAGCTATAATTTGTTATGTCATTCAAGGTGACTCAATCAAATCCAAGTGAGATGAGTTTGCAATTTCTGTTCAACTTTCTGTCAACATTTTTACTTAACAAATATAATCCCAGACAGAATCAGAGAACATAGCGAGGATTATTGCTCAATGTGTGTGGAGAAGGGGAAATGGAACTGCAAACATTTTGGAGTGTCCAGCCCAGGAAAAGTAAAAGCTCGTGAAAGAAAGCGACAACAGGAAGCCCAGCTCCATGCTCAGCTGCCTCCTGGGGCCACAGTCTTCTAGAACTTGAGGCTACTTACACTGAGGGTTCTTTTCTCTCCTACCATCCCCTACTTAAAAGCCACACAAGGGATCCTAAGGGGAGAGTCTAGCTGGGAAGTCACAGCCTCTCCGAAGCAGGTTCCTTCCAGACACCTGCAGACCAGATGATGTGGTCCAGCTGGGCAGGGAGGCGCTGGCGTCGCAGACTCCCCTTCTCTCCAGCGGGTGAAGGCTGGAGGAGCAAGTGTCCAGCCACTGGGGAAGGGACACTGAGCACGTCTATGACCCTGCTTCTCTTTGAAGGCAGAAGGTTGGAAAAGGCTTGCTGTTCTCCCAGGAAAGGGGAGAAAAGCTCCCGGTGGCTGACCAAGGCCAGAGGATATAGTGAGCTCAATGGTAAAAGCCCACAGTTGCTTGATGCCCTGCAGCCCATCCTGAACCGGGAACCCAGAGCTCCTGCCACCACCAGCAACCCCCTCTCCAGCCTTGGGGTGCAGCTGTGAACTAGGGGCTCAGTTCCACACCCTCTAGCTAGTCCAGGCCATTTGTGCTTTTAGGAAATAAATGCAGGCATTTAGAAAAGTATATCCGCCCAGCTTGCCACAGCCTGCCGGGAGACCTTTTTAAGTGAGAAGACCTGAGACAGAGCCCATCTGCTTCAGGAGCCAGCCCAGAACAGTGTGGTCAGGGCCAGCCTCGTGGTCGTGCCGCCTGGCAGCCACACGGGGCCATGCACTCAGAAGGGACCTGAGCGGCTTAATGCTCTCCTGTCACTGTCTAGAAATGCTTCATCACCTGAACAAGGGGCCTCGCATTTTCATTTTGCACTCTGTCCACCAACCACGCGGCTAGTCCTGTCCAGGACGACAGGACAGTGGAGTAACGTGTTTCCTGTTTCCCTCTCCAAGCCACAGAGCCATGCATCCCCCTCAAGGGTGGGTAGGCACACACACACGCGCGCGCACACACACATACACACACAGACACGCACACATGCACGCACATAGAAACACATGCACACATACACGTGCGCACACACACACGCACACATGCACGCACATACAAATACACACACATACACGTGTACACACACGCACACACACAGGCGCACACACACGCACACCCATGCACACACACATACAGGGGCGTGCACACCCATGCACGCACACACATACACGGGCGTGCACACACATGCACACACACGCACACAAACACATGCCTGCACACACAAACACACGTACACAAACACGCACACACACATACATGCACACACAATGCACACACAAGCACGCGTGCACACACCACGCACTGAGCTGCTGCGTCCCACCAACAAAAATTCCCTTCCACCTAAAGTTCCAGCAGTCTAAGTCTGCAAGCAGAGACTCTGTAATCCAATCCCAGTAGAGCTCACTGTAACTCCCAGAACGCTTGCCGGGAAGCAGGGCCTCCTCCAGGTCACCTGCCCTGCAGTCCACCCAGACGACAGACACTAAAGCAGATGCAGAAAGGGTGGGAAGGCTGAGGACCTCCGTGCAGCCCCAGCCTCAGCGGCAGGGAAGAGCAAGGTCTCACTGGAGACCCCTGATGCGTTAGGCTCGAACCCCAGGCTCGCCGCGAGCTTCCTTCCCACCCAGCCTTCAGTCTCTGCCAGGCCCACATTCCTAGTTCTGAGTCCGTGTTCCTGTCTTCCCCTACACCTCACATCACCAGCAACTCCTTCTGCGATCTACACAAGAGCGATGCCCAGCAGCTGCGGTAGGTGGAGCCGGCACCTTGAAATCCGCCAGTGAAAACAGCGAATTTCCTCCTCCTACAGGGTGACCCTCCACCTCCGCCAGTGACAGTGCACTGAACGGCAGCCGCTACTGCTCACCCAGCGCTACAAAGCCACCACACCCTTTCTTTGGTTCCTGTCTGCCCCAGGCCCCCACTCTGTTTAGATACAGGAACGGCAGGAAATAAGAGATTTGAGTTAAAAAAGAGAAATGCAAAGGCGAAGAGAAGCAAAGTTGCACAGGAATGTTATTCTTTCAAAAGATAAAAGCATAAAACCAGAGCTTCTGGAAGAAGAAAATATGCATTCTTACCACTGCCTAAAAAGAAGCCTTAGTTTCTGGTTGATCCTCAGGAAATATCAGAGAAACGCTGATTTTTCCTTTTTTTTTCAAGGCTGACCAAATAAGTCCACTTCTGAACACAGCTTTATTTGGTGGGCTTTGAATACTAAAATATTCATACTAGGCAGATGATAGTAGTAATATAGCCTGGTATAGAAAATAGAACAGAATCCTATTAAAACACAACTCACAGAACACCCCTGACATCCAGTAAGGGGAAACCGACCCTGAAATCTGACAAGCACACATAATGTCAAAAACATTATTACGCGGGTGTAATCTGGTTCCCCCAGGGCCAGGGTAAAGAGGGTTCCTTTGAATGGAGGAACTGATTGAGGCTGCATGGAACTAAAGAAGTTATTGGGAGGTGGATATGAACTTTTTTTTTTTTTTTTTGAGACGGAGTCTTGCTCTGTCACCCAGGCTGGAGTGCAGTGGCACAATCTCGGCTCACTGCAACCTCTGCCTCCTGGATTCATGCCATTCTCCTGCCTCAGCCTCCCGAGTAGCTAGGACTATAGGCACTCGCCACTATGCCTGGCTAATTTTTTGTATTCTTTAGTAGAGATGGGGTTTCACTGTGTTAGCCAGGATGGTCTCGATCTCCTGACCTCGTGATCCACCCGCCTTGGCCTCCCAAAGTGCTGGGATTACAGGCGTGAGCCACCGCGCCCGGCCAAACTTTTTTTTATAAGCGTTGGGTCTTATTTTAATGACTTAAAGTTAGTTTGCCATTAAAAGCAATGGCAAAAACCGCAATCACTTTTACACCAACCTAATCCAATTAGGCTTGCTTGAATGCCACCAAGGCAGGCCCGTCGGAGCTGCCTCCCAGCTTCTAGGAGGGTGACCTGGACCAGGATGGGGACTCCCTAAATGAACAGTGCATTAACTACTAAGATGTTTCTGAGAGATCACAATCCAGAGATGCACTGTCTAGTGTGCTGGTGTCTGGATTTTAATGCTCCCAAGACAGACAGCTGTTAGATGTCTTCTTTCACTTGGACTAAGTTTCCATGCCTATCAGGAATAGATTTCTTTTTTTTCTGGCTCCTACAGATAAAAGGTTATGTATCTTAGTTGATCCTGATGACCTGCAGACATATCCTGGATCTGATACAGTGCAGGGTGAGGAAACAGGAATTCTAGAACCTTCCTATCTTCTAGCTCAAATAAACAACTGCATTCCAAGTACAGAGAAGCAGGATCCAGAGGAAGCTGTGGGGTGCCACTAAGTTGACAGCCAATTACTTCCTCCGTGTCAGGTCTAACCAAAAGAGGTCTGCATTAGCTCTTTTTGTTTGTTTGTTTGTTTTGAGAAGGACTGTCACTCTGTTACCCAGGCTGGAGTGCAATGGTGTGATCTTGGCTCACTGTAACCTCCGCCTCCCAGGTTCAAGTGATTCTCCTGCCTCAGCCTCCTGAGTAGCTGGGATTATAGCTGGGATTACAGGTGTGCACTACCACCCCTGGCTAATTTTTGTATTTTTAGTAGAGACAGGGTTTCACCATGTCGGCCAGGCTAGTCTCGAACTCCTGACCTCAGGTGATCTGCCTGCTTCGGCCCCCCAAAATGTTGGGATTACAGGCGTGAGCCACCGCACCTGGCCGGTTTGCATTATTTCTCTGAAGAACCCCGCACAAAGCAACATTCATTGATCAGAACCATTCAAAATAGAATAAAAATATCCAAGGGCTCAAGGGAAACATTCCCTCTAGAAGTCGGGTCCTGCACATGAAGTACAAGTCACTGCAACAAGGAGAAGCAGGGACTGAGCCACATCTTCATCAGAAACCGGGCTGGCGGGCATGTGGGAGTATCAGGGGACACCAACGGGCCTGAGACTGCTTCTCCTGGAATGAGCTGACCTGGAGGTCCCACAGGAGGAAGTTGCAGGGAATGCATCCCTGGGCCCCCAGGACAGCTCTCATCAGGCTCCTCGTAAGCCTGTAAGGTCACTGGGCAGAAGAGCTGGAGGAAGCTGCCCCGTGAATGGCAGCTGTGGTTTCTTTGCACCCTCAGTCTTTCTGCTGCTTTACAATATCACCTCATGAGTGCAGCCTCCTGGCACTCATGGACAAGGAAAGCCCACCTTCCTCTAGAAGGGGCCTGGGCAGGTAGGCAATTACACTGTAGTTGGGAAAAGAAAGAAAGAAAGAAAATGCCCCCATTTGATCAAGCATTGAACGTCCCTAAAAGGAACTGAGTGGCTACGTGCAGGAAGCTGCTAGATCAATGTCATGGGAATTCCTGAGCCTCCCTCACTCGTGCAGGTTAAGGCTGTTCTAGGGAAGCGCCTGCCACTTATATTTAATACAAGCCTGTTTCTGTCCCTGAGATCTGCCCCAGAATGTAGGCTGGCCTAAAAATCCTCATCTGAGCTCAGCCTTCCCAGAAATGGATTCATCTTCTGTGTCATTTGAACAAATGAACTGAAAACATAGAGAAACACAAGCATTTGGTCTCACTGGTCCACTCCAGGGAAAAGAAGGAGAATGAACATTCTAACAATATACTAAGCAGCCCCTGGGCCATTCCTGGAAGTAAGGGGGAGTCTCTAGCAGGCATGTCAGCACCCCATGGTACAAAGAGAAGGAGGTGTTAGTTTTCCCTAATGCCTCTTATGGTGGCTCAGACTACACTGAGGGCTTCATCATGCCACTGGTTTCTGGGCCTCCAGTTATGCTTCTGCCTGGTGTGAGCTAAAGCTCTTTTATCTAAAAGCAAAACAAAGCCATCCAGGTGCCTTTGTTTTTATGTCACTTTCTGGCATACGATGCTCTAAACTTGTAAACAAGTGTATCTGAATCAAACAGACCCACTGCTAATTGCGCACTCACCTCAAGCCTGAAATGACCCTGTTATATCCAAAGCACACCAGATATTCATGTGAAAGTATTAGTGTCTGCTATAGAGCACATCGCTAACCTTGAAAAGGAAGGGAGAATTTAGAAACCAAATCAAATCAAATCATACTTTCTGTTTCCAATGGAAATTCTTAAAGTTGTTACACATACAAAACATATTTTCTTCTTATCAATCAAAAAGCCTCAATCAACTAGAAAAAAAACAACTTGGAGTAGAGGTAGAGAAGTCTTTTTCTGCTTATACAGGGTACTGGCCTACTCTAAAATATATTCCAACAGCTCCGCCTTTCCAGGAAAGCCAGAAGTGCCTTGTCCATTTCTGCCTTCATCTTGAGCCCCATCAGATTCTAGAACATCCTTGTTCTGTGTGGTCAGTGGCTTTACACTTGTCCTAGCCAGTTCCTGGAGAGACAGCCGGCCTGCTCAGCCTTGGAAGGCAGGCCTGCAAGTGTCCTTCCCCGCTGGCGCTAGCACCGAATCCCTCTGCCACCCCGGAATACACCCCTGGAGGACACCTGAGCTTTGGTACCAGGTCACCGAGATAAGATATAATGTGGGTGGTCAATTTACTCATTTTCTGATGGGATTTTTTTTCCCCCAGTTAACTTCAGGGCTACTCGACCAGATGAAATCAGTTACTTTCATACACTTAGGTCTTTAGGTTGTTTAAAAAAAAGCAAAGAAGAAAAAATGCCTCCTCTTACATGAATGTTCTTTGAGAGCAGAGCCCTTTCCTCTGCTATCAGAGGACAGAGACACATTATCCAAACAAACAAGGAAGTCCGGCTCTAGTTCCTCAAGCATTCCTGGTGACCTGCACCTAGAAAGGTCCCTCCTTCCAGATTAGTTCAGGCCTGGATCTGAATGAGCCACATCTTCAGGCTCTCATGGTCCCAGCAAACCTGGTTCCAGGAGACGATGCTGTCCGTCTACCTGCCAGCATGATGCCAGCAGCCAGAGAGGCCCTGTCCCAGAGGGACCAGGATGTGGACTGTCACTTCTAGAGAACTGCTGTATGAAGAAGGCTCAGCCCAAGAGGTCCCCGGATAGTTCAGTTCTCAGGGATGACTGAGGGTTACAGCGTAACCCTATGACCAGGACAGCCCCTTCTTGGACTAAAGGAGATCAGAGTGTGCAGGAGGAGCTAGCAGTGTGGCTCAGAGCAGAGGAACGCTTGCAGGGGTGTGTAAAAGGCTGAGATCAGGATGCCAGGATGCAGTGGCCTACAGAACTCCTATATGTAGAAAACGAAGAGCTCGGAGACAGACTCCTTGTTGGCAAGGAGCATATAATTTCAGTGAAATATAGCCCAGATGGTCAATAGAGGTGAAGGAACAGAGAGGCCCAAGGGTTTGAGACTCCATGCATCAGCCCTGTTCCTCAATCCCCTTGACACAACTCATGAATCACAGCTGGATCCGAGGGCCAGCCCGACTCCTCCATAAGGACGATCGGTTACGTTACAAATTACACCAGGAAATACAAGGACACTAATCCAGAACTTGCTACACAGCAGGAGCATCTCAAGGATGTTCAACAGAGTCACTTGAGGAAAAACAGTCACATATTGCTTTCTCATGCTACATTAATTCCAATAATAGGACACTATGAGTGGGTGACCTGGGACCTCAAACGATTGTTTGTCATTGTGCATACCATACGCTACCTACATGAACAATGATGTCCAACATTAACACGCAAATAAAGTCAATGAAGGAAAGACAGGACAGAAAACAAAAAGAGATTGGAATGGTGACCCACACTACGCCATTTACACATGGAATACTTTTTTTCTACCATGGTAACATGTCTTTCATAAACACACTGAACAAACGGTATTGGTTATAGAAATAGGAAAGCATAAGTTGCATGTCTATTTATAGATTTAATTTAAAAGTTTCTTAACAACATCAAAAAATATAAACTTAAAGTTTTTTAACCATGTTTTCTGCTGGGAAATGGTAAACAAATGCATGCCTGAAGTTAAACTTGGTCTCTAACACGTTCAGTTGAAAGTTTCTAACTACAGGGTATATTTGCTTGTTTCAAAAAATACTTATGTCTGTTGTTCTTGATACAAAATTCTACACTATCTTCAATAAATAAATAATAAAGTATTTCTTAAAAGTATGAAATGTAAACTTTGTTGTCCTTTCCAACACACACTTTTAAAAAAAATTGCTTGAAGTATGACCGGGCTCTCATGGGAAATTATAACACTACACATTCAGTTCCCAGCAAAGGGGGTACTCCGCCACAAAGCTGATGCTATTATTTAGAAAGCGCTTTTATAACCCTAATTAAAGTCTAAGGACCTACAATCAAAGAGAACACCATCTAGTACAGGAAAGCTAGACTCCGGTACCAACAGAACATGCAAAGGACATTTCATGACCACAACAAACTGGGATTATGAGAATATTAACATGCGAACAAAATACGGCCCCCACTTTTCATTAGCAAATCAAGTTACTATCTAACTAACCAGACTATCTCCTGGCATTTAAGGGAAAAAAAAAAAAAAATTAAAGAACTCAAACCAAACAGCTTGACACATGGTCATACAGTCCTGACTCTTGGAACAAGCACATTACCGTGAGGTTGGGGTGGGTGTGGTGGAGGGTGGGAAAGCGTCTTAGGTCTTTGGCCCAGGATGTGCGGGGCTTGCATGCTCCTAGGGTCTTTCACCCACCACATAATGGACTGTCTTCATTTTCTTTCCCAGCCTCCAGCTTGACATTTTTCCTTTTCACGCCTTGGGGATCTAGGACGTGGCTTTTTGGGGAATGTACCAAAGACAGTTGTTGAAATTTCCTACAACAATCAGGATTCAGCACATCCAAGCACAGAACAGGGCACCAGCAACTAACTACTGCTGCCGTGAAATATCACAGGGCCTCTGAGCCAAAAGAGATTTTTCCACCATGGCTGCCAATCGAGACCCAGTGACCCAACATTGTCAGGTTGCCTTTCCAGTGACCTGCAGTGATCTGATCCAGCAGACGGGTGACTTTCTAGATAATGGCTTTCTGTGACCATATTCCAAGCATGCCGGAAATCAGAACTGAATCCACGCAACAATACGCCGGTGTGTTTTCATTGACATATATTAATACAAGGCCTAGAGGGGGAAGGAACGGCTATAACGGTGCGCATGCTGGAACCTTCCATAGACCAGCTCTTCAAAGAGCTAAGCCAGGGCCTGATCAGACCGTCTCACCGAGTGATCAGCTCCAGGCAGCATTTCCCTGCGGGAGAGATGGGATTCTGAAGCAACGACAGGACCATCATAATTGTTTCTGAACGCACACCAACGACTGGGCATTGTAAGCCGAGAAGTCTACTTGGGGCCTGGTGGATGTAAGAAATAGGAGGGTTACATGAGTTCTCCAAAAATATAGACATTGCATTTATAAATCTATTTTATAGTAACCAGACCCATTCTTCAAGCCCGGGAAGGCGCTAGACTCCCAACTGCACCCTGTTGAGGGTTATGGGATTTCAGTGACCCTAGAAGCCATAATGAGACCTGTAGTGAGGACAAAGGAAAACAGAGCTTTGTTTCATGAAAAAGGAAATTGTTTCGGGGCAGGGAGGATTGTCAAGAATGATTCCTAGAAGCTCTGAGGGGCCTGTCTTTGCCGTCCCATATCCCTGTGACTGAACACCACCAAATGGTTTCTTAGAAAAGGAACACAATTTCCAGACAGCATGTGCGGCCATGGGCTGGGACCCTGCTGAGCACACCCTGAGCCCGCTGCCTACGGCTCATCAAACAACTGCAGGTCCAAGCGGACCACGATCTCTCCCGTGGGGACTTCGTGCAGCAGAAGACACTTCGTAACTGGACCCTTGGAGCCCTGGTCCTTTTTGATGTCCGCCACACGGATCTCCGTCCGACCCAAAAAATCTGAAAAGAGAACAGACAGACCCTGCTATGAGGGCCCATTCCCTGTCTTCGAGGCACATGTCTGGCATATTGGGGACCCCCCGATGAACTGTTACATTCTGATGTAAACCAACACTAGGATTTCCAACTCACTCCCCAGTAGAGTTGCCAATGTGTCATGGTATTTCATTATTTAAAAAAAACAAACCCAACCCCAATCTTTATCTCTCAGAATTAGAAGGTGGCCGGGCACAGTGGCTGGCATCTGTAATCCCAGCACTTTGGGAGGCCAAGGCAGGAGGATCACTTGAGTCCAGGAGTTTGACACCAGCCTGGGCAATAGAGTGAGACCCTGTCTCTACAAAAACATTTTAAAAATGAGCCTAGCATGGTGGTTCATGCCTGTCATCCCAGCTACTTCGGAGGCTGAGGCAGGAGGATTGCTTGAGCCTGGGAGGTGGAGGCTGCAGTGAGCTGTGATTGCACCACTGTGCTCCAGCCTGAGTGACAGAGTGAGACCCTGTCTCAAGAAAAAAAAAAAAAGTAAAAAAATAAAAAGAAAAAAGAATTTAGAAGTTGACAGTGCACATAGTGGTTAAGAGTCCAGACTTGGGAGGCAAACTGTTCCAGTCGCACTCAAACATTTAACCAGCTACCACAACGAGTACCTAACTCACAATGAGATAATTCACATAAAAAGTACTAAAAGATGAAGGCCCTATGGAGCCATTTAAACCTTGTACAGATAATGATAGTATTCGACCCTCACTCCTTTGGTTATAATTAAGTTGAGCATATAATCTTTTAACTTACTCTGTGATTTTTTTTTTTTTTTTTGGAGATGGGGTCTTGCCCTGTCACCCAGGCTGGAGTGTAGTGGCACCATCACGGCTCACTGCAGCCTCAACCTCCCAGTCTCAAGCAGTCCTCCTGCCTCAGCCTCCCAAGTAGCTGGAACTACAGGTGCGTGCCACTATGCCTGGCTACGTTTTGTATTTTTTTGTAGAGACTAGGTCCCATTATGTTGGCCAGGCTGGTCTCGGACTCCTGGGCTTAAGCAATCCTCCTGCCTCAGCCTCCCAAAGCGTTGGGATTCCAGGCCCGCATCACCATGGCCACCGGTGATTTTTACTGGGTTGAGGGAGAGACAGGTCGTTTCTTGGAATCATTGGGCCGAGACCATTCTTTTGCAGGCCCAAGCAGGAACAGAAGGCTGGCGGAAGAAATGATTCATCCAACGTGACTGCATCCCTTTGCCTACTTAATAACTGCCACAAAAATGCCACCCAAAGGGACCTGGCTGATTCTGCGGCTCCTGTGCTGGGCTAACATCCTTGTTCCATTGGCCAGCTTCATCCATTGCCAGCATGGCTTTTTGCCAAGGACTGAAGAACTGTGCTGAGGCTCTTAAATACACCCCTCTCCACAGTCACCTGCTTTGGAAAGCAGAAGATGGTCGTGTTTGCCCAGGGCAGCTGGCACAATTCTAGACCAAGCATGCTCTGTCCACTTGCAGTGAGACACCTCCAGAAGACTCCTCCAGGGGAGACAGAGCCTCGTCTTGTGCCAGCCAGCCTCATCTCTCAGGAGGGAAACCCAAGGAATCCTGGCACCAAGTCTCCAGGTAAGAAAACATTCACCCACGCAAACGAGTGCCAGGGAAGGAGGCGTAACCACGGGGCCGCGTTCCACTCACCATCTGGTGAGAACTGGTCCCTCTCGAACACAGTGATGCAGAGGACTTCCTGCTCCAGGTCTCGGATGAAGAACTGGCAGTTGGAATTCCACTTGGGGTTCAGAGTGTCCTGGATCGTCTTGGTGATGTGGCACTGGGAACCCATGGTCACCTCGCAGTAGGGGTTGCTCTTTCCTGAAGGGAACAAAAGCCTTCGTCAGGTGGAACTCACCCCTCATTTTGATCCCCACCCTTTTTTTTTTTTTTTTTCTGATGGAGTCTTGCTCTGTTGCCCAGGCTGGAGGGCAGTGGTACGATCTCAGCTCACTGCAACCTCCACCTCCTGGGCTCAAGTGATTCTCCTGCCTCAGCCTCCTGAATAGCTGGTATTACAAGTGCCTGCCACCATTCCTGGCTAATTTTTTATATTTTTAGTAGAAACGGGGTTTCACCATGTTGGCCAGGCTGGTCTCAAACTCCTGACCTCAGGTGATCCGCCTGCTTTGGCCTCCCAAAGCACTGGGATTACAGGTGTGTAATCCAGGCCACTGTGCCTGGCCGCTCCCCTCTCTTAATAATTATTATGCTTAATAAGTGGCATTCAATGGAGAATCCAGGTGCAAACTCCCAGAAGTCAGCGTCATCCTTAAACTAAGAACACATAATTAATTGAGTGGGCTTTGAAACTAGGCCCGTCCTGTCTCCTCACTTTGGTCTGATTTTGTGTCCTATCCACTGTGAATGCAGCGGCTCAGATCCCTCGGAAAAGCAGAATGGTAGAAAGGATGAAAAAAACCCCCACAAAACCTCCAGGTTTTAAATCAGTGCTAGTTAAACCAACTCTGGAAGGAGATCGGGGAGTATGGAAATAGCACATTTGATTTACATTCAGGTGGGGGTGCGGGGAACCCAGACCCAGCTTCCAACCCTAAGGCAGGAGGCGGGGGCGCCTCAGAGCCTTACCATGTGACCGACAGGGTTTCAACTCAATGCCTTCAACCACGTTCACCATCAACCTTCCAATGCCTGTTGCCCTTTGGGAACGGACTGTGATGGCAGGAAAAACACACAATGCTTCATTTGAACATGCCACACCGTTCCCATCTCTGTGAGCCTCACAATGCATTTCATGTACCTCTCCCGCCTCAAAAGTAATTCTCCCCTCCTCTCCTTGACCTCTTGCTTCCTTGCTCCTGGAATTTGTCCTCCCTCCCCATCTGCATCCCACCCCAAGCTCACTTCCATCCCATCTCATGCCCCTCCTCTAGGTCCAGAGGACTCTTCTATTCTGAGGATTTTCAGCCCAGCCAAATGGCCCTCCCTCCTGCCGGCGTGCAGGACAGCCCGCGGGGCCATGCATTACCCAGGTACGCCTTCTCGCGCTTCTTTTTCTCAGTCTCTATGTAGAGTTCAGAAGCAGCTTTGATTTTCTGCACCCAGGCAGTCCTTGGACGGAAAAAGACAGAGAGTTGCCAAACAGAAACTCAGGAAAAAGGCTTCAGGTCTGTTCAAACACTGTTGCCAGGACTCCGTTTTCTTTGTTCACTTGATTTTAACCACAAAGGCTCGGGAAAGAGAATCTGATTTTATGTCACATGATGCTAATACTTATTCCTGCCATCAATAAGAAAGGCATGAGGGCCATTTCCATGGATGTCCTCAAGACCTGCGTTCATGTCCCCGGGGAAGAAAATCTGTGATAGATGCTGTCTTGGAGGCAACATGGGGACACAACTCCTCTTCCTTCCTTACCGAAGAGCAGCACATATTTTCCTAATCCAACAAAGCCAGAAGGATCTTGCTTACGAAGTCACGCAAAGAAAGAACAAAAACCACTTCCCAGATTGGGAACCACTTCACAAGAAAGAGCAAAATGCCCTGGGGGAAGGCGTTTGTGGCTGCGGTTTTTGCCTTCATTTTTTCTGAGAACCATATGCACGAAAGCTTTAGCCAATTTTCTTGCTCGGTGCAAACGCTCTTTGGAATGATGCTGGCCTTGTGTCAAGTTCACCCTTCAGAAAATGATCTATTTCACTTGGCTCCAGGGCAGTGTCTTGAAGACAGATTGAAGCAAAATACCCACAGCCCTAGGTTCCAGAATGCCCATTTAAGTGAGCCAAGGTGAGGAGGGGTTTGGGTTTGGGTGGTCCTATTAACCCCCAAATTGCTTTCCTATTGGTTTCTGCCACCTGGGAAGCCAGGGGAAACTTGAGATGCTCCGTTTACCTCAAAGAATGCTAAACATTTCTGAAAAAAAAAAAAAAAAAAAACCTGCCAGGTGCAGTGGCTCATGCCTGTAATCCCAGCATTCTGGCATTCTGGGAGGCCAAGGAGAGTGGATCCCTTGAGCCCAGGAGTTTAAGACCAGCCTGGGCAACATGGCGAGACCCCATCTCTACAAAAAAAGTAATAAAACACTAGCCAGGCTTGGTAGCACATGCCCGTAGTCCTAGCTACCTGGGAGGCTAGAGTGGGAGGATTACTTGAGCCCAGGAGGTCAAGGCTGCAGTGAGCTGTGACCGCACCACTGCACTCCAGCCTGAGTGACAGAGTGCGACTCTGTCTTAAAAAACAAACAAACAAACAAACAAAAAACTCAAGCAAAATTAGTTTCAATCCATGTTATTTTGGAAAGTGCATGCCATGTGTCAGATTTTTGAGAGGCTGTAGAAAAAAGTAATAGCCCCAACCCAACCCCAGCCAGGGGTGATAGCATTGCCACTTGGGAAACATTGGCACCTGCTGATTAATCACACGTCCCTTTTGTGTGCTAGAGCTGTGGAGCCCCTGGGGCCCATGCTGGGGAGGTGGCAGGTCTTACCGTTCATTTATGCTTTCTGCTCGGAGGGTGTAGACGCGGTCAATGTGGGAGATGTGGAAGATGGGCTCGTCTCCAGAAGGGTCGGTGGGTAATTTTACTAGAACCTCATTTAGGAAAATAGGCTGCAAAGTAACGTGAAGGCATTACAAAGCGAGGCTGGGGGTCTGCGTGCTTTGGTAAACCGTGAGTGTGTGAGCACGCTTATGAGACTGCAAGTCAGCCGTGTGTGCACGCCCATGTGTGTGTTTCAGTAACCTCGACTGAGCATGTGTGTGTGTTTCTGGGTGTGTTCCAGTAAACCAGACTGAAGGCGTGTGTGTTTTCCGGTAAAGAATCCCAGAATAATAATTTTGTGTTAGTACCAACTTTCATAGATTACAAATTATAGATATGGGTCTCCCCCACCCCCGATTTTGCAGGTATGTTTTAACTCCTTCAGAATGAGATCTGGCTGGTGTCGCTTTTCCTGGTGTATCCTAAACAGCAGTCTTCATCCACTTTACATCAAGCAATTCCCTCCAAAGATTTTCACATGAAGTTTCTAGTAACTATATAAATACATAGCTCTTTTTTCCCCCAAAATAAAGCTAACTGCTGCTTCAGAGAAAATTCTGTAAAAACGCCCCCATGGAGACAAATTTAGAAAAACAATGTCCCGTGACACGAAGACACACAAACACAGCCATGCACGTATGAACAGACCATATAAACAGCTGAGGGAAATTCTCCACTCATCAACTGTTTAGAGAGGCTGTGCTAGAAAGGGGAGGCCTCGGATGTTTCAAGCTACCTGGAGAAGTCTGGCCGGGGACTTAGGACTGTTTGGAGGCGACGGTGGGCCCTGGGTGCTGTTTTGCGCCTCTTCTCCCAGGCTTTTTCACACCTGCCTCATCCGTACCCTAGACTTCGCTCCTACAGGCTAAGGCATGCCTTTGTCACATCCCAGGGACCACAGGAGCCATTTGGCAGCCAATATATGTTCCACCGATGGCACCGAGTGTCACTGAAACTGCGGTGGGATACGGATCATCCTCCACTCCGGACACCCTAAATCGCAGTTCAACTCCCAGCCTTCTACTCCACGCCACCGCCCCAGACCCCGCTAAAACTCTAGTTCCTTTTTGGAAACTTCTTCCTCCCCAAACACATCAACCCTGACAATGCAATTGGGAATCCAACTTACAGTTTTGTACATTTTATACTGCAGGTTTGATTTGGGGCTGAAGACTTTGTCGGTGCCAGAAGATCCCAAGGGCTTCGTGATCTGAGTCAGCAGGAGGAAGTCGTTGAAAAGGAAACCATACAGTTCCTTGTTGCTCTTGGCCTTGTAGAGCTTCCCACTGTGCAGAAATTTGCGCGGCCCCAAGCAGTTGGTCACTGAATTGAACACAAGTTGCTGAGAAAGGAAAACAAAACCCAAAGTGTAACATTTTTTGTTTCTCCGCATCTGAAAGCATGGGCTCCATCAGAATCAGAGGCCAGGCCCCAGTGCACTCGGAATCTCAGGCAAAAGTCAAGGATGGCTTTGAAGACTTTGGAGCCAAGAGATCAAAGTCAGACAAAGGCACAGTTCAGGGAATTCCAAGTATCAAGAAGAGTCTCAATGGTAATTTCTTTTTTTTTTTTTTTTTTTTTTTTTTTAAGACGGAGTCTCGCTCTGTCGCCCAGGCTGGAGTGCAGTGGCCAGATCTCGGCTCAGTGCAAGCTCCACCTCCCGGGTTTATGCCATTCTCCTGCCTCAGCCTCCCGAGTAGCTGGGACTACAGGCGCCCACCACCTTGCCTGGCTAGTTTTTTTGTATTTTTTTTAGTAGAGACGGGGTTTCACCGTGTTAGCCAGGATGGTCTCGATCTCCTGACCTCGTGATCTGCCCGTCTCGGCCTCCCAAAGTGCTGGGATTAGAGGCTTGAGCCACCGCGCCCGGCCTCTCAATGGTAATTTCTAAGGCTTTTCCTCTAAGGAGATGCTAGTGTCTTATGGTGCAATTGGTGTGTTTTTTTCTTTTTTTTTTTTTTTTGAGACAGGGTCTCACTATGTTGCCCAGGCTGGAGTGCAGTGGTGTGATCATAGTTCAGGCAGCCTTGACCTCCCAGGCTCAAGCAATTCTCCCATCTCAGCCCCCCAACCCATGCCTGGCTAATTTTTGAAAAAAACTTTTGTAGAGATGAGGGGTCTCACTACCTTGCCCAGGCTGGTCTTAAACTCCTGGCATCAAGTGATCCTTCCACCTCAGGCTCCCAAAATACTGGGATTACAGGTGTGAGCCACTGGGCCTGACTGCTTCTCTTTTTAATTTACTGGGAAAACGGGGCAGCAGAAAGAAAAGTGCCCACCTGGCTCCCACCTTGGAGATTCCCTGCTCTGTGCAGGGTCTGTGCATGAAACAGCTCCAGGGAGAAGACCCCACACAGGTTCAGACAGTCCTTTGTGCTTCTGGAAAGCAGCAGCCCCCGTCTCTCTCCAATTCCACGGACAAAGGCTGCCTTTCAAGGCACAACTGCAGTCTGGGCCCCTGGCATGTGTGTGACTGTACAAATCAGTGGTGTTAATTTTTTTTTGAGATGGAGTCTCGCTCTGTTGCCCAGGCTGGAGTGCAGTGGCCGGATCTCTGCTCACTGCAAGCTCCGCCTCCCAGGTTCACGTCATTCTCCTGCCTCAGCCTCCTGAGTAGCTGGGACTACAGGTGCCCCCCACCACGCCCAGCTAATTTTTTGTATTTTTAGTAGAGACAGGGTTTCACCATGTTAGCCAGGATGGTCTCGATCTCCTGACCTCGTGATCTGCCCACCTTGACCTCCCAAAGTGCTGGGATTACAGGCGTGAGCCACTGCGCCCGGCTGTAAATCAGTGGTGTTGAGCGACCTCTCAATGCCAAACAGAATGGACACTGTACTGTGCACATGAAACCTCACCCGGCTCACCTGCTTAGCAAACAGGAAGGGAACAGCTCCCTCCCTCCACTTACTGACCCGTAGAGACACTGTGGGTGCTGAAATGCGGCTCTAACACCTCTTGGGGGTCTATCACCTCACTCCAGTAGGTTCTGAAGGGGCAGAGGGTACTGAGGTGGAGATGACCCCACAGAGGCCCCCTTTTTGACAGCAGGAGGAGAGGCCAAGGATAGCAAGGCCGTGGCTGCGTGCCAGGAGTAAGACGACCCAGTCAGAGGCCAGCCCCTCACGCTCCCCATCTGCCCACACAACTGGCCTGGGGGACAGTCCAGGGCTGTCTCCTGAGCTACGAGCCCTATGGACCTCTCTGAATAGGGTATATGTGAGGGAGTGATAGGTTCGTAACACGTGTCCCCAAGAGAAGCTGGTGGCCACCTGTCCATCTGCAATACGGGAGAAACAGTGGCGCCTCTGTGAGCGGAGAGCTAAAGGCAGCTGGAAACGGGCCACTGCACTCTGCTCTCAGCCACCAGGAGGAAAGATGACCTCTGACCTCCCGCGGAGGCTCTGAGAGCCCAAGAAAGACCGAAGGTGTGGCCACAACAGGAGCCTTCAAAGAACACTCTTCACCTCTGCACTCCGGGCAGGGGCCTGGAGACCAACCAGCCTTTCCTGCTTGCCAAGACAGTGTTCAAGCCACTTGGGCACAAAGCATCCAGAGAAGGCAAGTGTCATTGGATCCAGTGACATAAAGGCGCTCTCGTTCATTCATACTCAAAGCCTCTACCTGGCCAGGATAACACTGAATATGCATGAACTGGGAGGAGTATTTGCACTTCTCTATCTTCAGACAGGAATGCCAAAGACAGCATCTGTTTGAAAGTTAATCACTGCTGTGTGTCCAGACCTGGGCCACGCATGGTCCACACTGCGATCCTAGGTCAGGAGACAGAAGTCAACACGTCCTCTTCCCATCACCATGAACGTCATCAAGAGAACAACGACGCTGTGCATGATAGCCAGGAAGACTGACCAAGAAGGACAGCCATCTGATGGCAAACGGGGGATTTAAGCCCAAAAAATCAAAGGACAAGAACTAGGCTGGGTGCAGTGGCTCAGGCCTGTAATCCCAACACTTTGGGAGGCCAAGGCAGGCGGATCACTTGAGGTCAGGAGTTGGAGACCAGCCTGGCCAACACGGCGAAACCCTGTCTCTACTAAAAATACAAAAAGTAGCCGGGTGTAGTTCTGGGCCCCTATAGTTTCAGCTACTTGGGAAGCTGAGGCAGGAGAATCTCTTGAATTCAGGAGGTGGAGGTTGCAGTGAGCCGAGATCGCACCACTGCACTCCAGCCTGGGTGACAGAGTGAGACTCCGTCTCAAAAAAAAAAGGATAACAACTGATTTTACTTTAACATCTTCAGATCCCAGCCTTACTGTGTCCCTCTGATGGCAGCTGTCAGAATCAGGGAAGGGCCCTTTCTAAGGTGCACATGGTTGTGTCGGCATTTCTGCCTGGCAGTGCAGGGGCGGCTTGGGTCCCTTGTCTTCAGGATCAAGTTAACGTTCCTTTGCATGATACACAGGCCTTCCTCGGCTGGGCCTCAGCCTGCCCTGCAGCCCCATGGCCCATCATTCCTCTACAGTCCTCACCAATGCCCTGCTCAGAATCTCAGAATGGTCCTCCACTCCTAATGCTCTGCCCCGATCTTTTTTTTTTTTTTTTTGAGACAGGGTCTTGATCTGTTGCCCAGGTTGGAGTGTAGTGGTGCAATCATGGCTCACTGCAGCCTCAAACTCCTGGGCTCAAGCAATCCTCCTGCCTCAGCCTCCCAAGCAGCTGAGACTACAGGTGCATGCCACCATACCTGGTTAATTTTCTAAACATTTTTTGTAGAGACAAGGTCTCACTATGTTGCCCAGGCTGGTCTTGAACTTCTGACCTCAAGGGATCCTCCCACCTTGGCCTCTCACAGTGCTGGGATTACAGGCCTGAGCTATGGTGCTTGGCCTGCCTCCAATGCTTCATCCTGCCATACCCAGTCAAGTATCACCTCCAAGGCCCCTGAGAGTCCCCCGTACAACTGTCCCTTGCTCCCATCACGTGTCCCCACAGCACTTGGCACCTAGCTCTGCCTCCTTACCCCTCACATCTTGTTGTAAATGATGGTTTAACCCCCAGCTTCCTACTGGACCGTAAGCTCCTTGAGAGTGGGGGCCACATCTTATTTGTTTTTATGTCCCAGGGTTTAGTACTGAGCCGTGGCACATGGGCGGATACTCACTAAGTGCTTATTGAATGAATGGATGATGAGCGAATAAATGACCCACCCACCGATTGCAGAGCAACACAAAATCCCAAAATGGGAGCCCACAGCTGTCCCCTTGGCTGCCACGGGGCTTCTTCCACAACTTTGCTCATCCCACACCAACACTGAAGGTGGACAGGAAGTGGGGCCGTGGAGGAACCAGTCATAGTGACTCCCTCAGGTGGTGACTGCCTTTGTAGCTTATGAGAGGGAAGAAACCACAGGGGGAGTGGATGAGGGAGATGCATTCTCGCTGGGCATTTTGGGAAACCCTAGTGAATGGTATATGTGTGTGCATACATGCATGTATGTATGTGTGTACATGCACAAGTGCGGGTGTATACAGAAACAGAGAGAAAAAAATGGGGAAAAAAAAATGAATGAGACCAAAGGAAAGGTTAAGTGGAAAGAAGAAAATTAAAGACCAAATGAGAGGCTTCTGGCCAGGCATGGTGGCTCACGCCTGTAATCCCAGCACTTTGGGAGGTTGAGGCGGGCAGATCACTTGAGCTCAGGAGTTTGAGACCAGCCTGGGCAACATGGTGAGTCCTTGTCTGTACAAAAAAATAGAAACATTAGCTAGGCATGGTGGCCAATGCCTGTAGTCCCAGCTACTTGGAAAGCTGAGGTGGGAAAATCACTTGAGCCCAGGAGGTTGAGGCTGCAGTGAGCTGAGTTTGTGCCACGGCACTCCCGCCTGGGCAACAGAGTGAGACCCTGTCTAAACACACACGCACGCGCACACACACACACACACACACACACACACACACACACACAGAGGCGGGGGGTGGGGGGCTTCTGTTTCTGGAAGTATAGTGGACTAGATACTCGGAATGACTCACCCAACAAAAACTTTAAAAAAACAGAAAAATGCAAAAATCCACTTTTTAACTCCAAGAAAACTGGCACAGAAAAAAAAAAAAAATAGAAACAAAGTAAGAAATTTGCAGAGGCTGAAAACAGAATGAAAATAGGAACCTGGAAGATCACTGACAGCCAGTGCCACTATAGCTTCGAGGGTCTCTCTTGAATATGCTAACGTTGACCTTGCATTTTACTTACTACATAGGGTGCAGAAGCAGGTGCATCCAGAGCCAACGTGAGGGGTCTAATAGGAGATCTTCACAAAAAGATGAACCCAGAGGAGGAGTGACAGGTAAACTCAAGCTCAGAGGGGATGAGCAATAAAACATTTCTGTTTTTCACCTTGGTGTAGTGAAGGAAAACATGCCCTGAGAATGTGTGGTTTATCAAGTAGCTCTCACGCAAGTTTACATCCAAAATTCACACAAGGGGTGTGATGCTCAAACCCCTCTAAACGTAGTTTTGGATAATCATGATAACAGTCCTCCCAGAAGAAATACAACTTCAGACAATAAAGATGCCTGCAGGTAGGCCAGGTGCAGTGCCTCACGCCTGTAATCCCAGCACTTTGGGAGGCTGAGGCGGGTGGATCTTCTGAGGCCAGGAGTTCGAGACCAGCCTGGCCAACATGGCGAAACCCTGTCTCTCCTAAAAATATAAAACTTAGCCAGGCATGGTGGTGAGCACCTGTAATCCCAGCTACTTTTGAGGCTGAGGCAGGAGAATTGCTTGAACCCAGGAGGCAGAGGTTGCAGGGAGCTGAGATCATGTCACCGCACTCCACCCTAGGTGACAGAGTGAGACTCCATCTAAAAAAACAAAAAAACAAAAAAACAAAAAAGATGCCCACAGGTAAAGTTCCAAGGAACATTTAGTTCACAGTCAAAAATCATAATACGAGAAACAAGGTAAGTTTAGCAACAGCTGGCAGAAACAACAGACAAAACAATAAGACCCATAACTTCAGGTTATGGGTTCTATATCTATATCTATATCTGTTTGTTGTTTTGAGACAAGGTCTGCTCTGTTGCCCAGGCTGGAGTATAGTAGCATGATCATAGCTCACTGCAGCCTTGAACTCCTGGACTCAAGCAATCCTCCCACTTCAAGTGTGAGCCACCATACCCAGCTAATTTATTTTTTATTTTTTTGTATAGACAGGGTCTCACTCTGCTTCCCAGGCTGATCTTGAATGCACACTAGCCTCCTGCCTCCACTTCCCAAAGCACTGGGATTACAGGCGTGAGTCACTGCACCTGGCCAGGAATATCTATGTTTAAAATGTGTTAAGAAATAAATAAGAAGGATTAACATTTGAGCAAAAAACGAGATACAAGAAAGAAACCAGCATAGCTGAGTGTGGTGGCATGTGCCTGTGGTCCCAGCTACTTGGGATGCTAAAGTGGGAGGATCACTTGAGCTCAGGAGATCCAGGTTGCATTGAGCTGTGATTGTGCCACTGCATTCCAGCAGCCTGGGTGACAGAGTTTGCTTGAACCCTGTCGAAAGAAGAGAAGAGAAGAGAAGAAGAAAGAAAGAGACAAGGAAGGAAGAAAGGAAGGAAGGAAGGAAGGAAGGAAGGAAGGAAGGAAGGAAGGAAGGAAGGAAGAAAGAAAGAGAAAGAAAGAAAGAGAAAGAAAGAAAGAAAGAAAGAAAGAAAGAAAGAAAGAAAGAAAGAAAGGAAGGAAGGAAGGAAGGAAGGAAGGAAGGAAGGAAGGAAGGAAGGAAGGAAGGAAGGAAGGAAGGAAGAAAGAAAGGAAGGAAGGGAGGGAAAGAAATCAGCAGACAGGAGAAAAGAAATATAACTTCTGGCAATGGGAAATGATATAATTTAAATTAAAAACTCAGTGGATGGCCAGGGAGCAGTGGCTCATGCCTGTAATCCCAGCACTTTGGCAGGCCGAGGTGGGCAGATCACCTGAGGCCAGGAGTTCAAGATCAGCCTGGCCAACATGGTGAAACACCATCTCTACTAAAAATACAAAAATTACCTGGGTGTAGTGGCATGTGCCTGTAATCCCAGCTATTCGAGAGGCTGAGGCAAGAGAATCGCTGGAACCTGGGAGGCAGAGTTTGCAGCGAGCTGAGATGGCGCCACTGCACTCTAGCCTGGGCGACAGAGCAAGACTCCATCTCAAATAAATAAACAAATACTCAGTGGGTGGATGAAACAGCAGATGAGAAGCAGCTGGATGGAAATGAGGATGCTCTCGGCAGGGGAGGAGAATGGTTCATGCTTTTCTTTGTCCTCCTCCGGGCTGGCAGCCGAGGCTCTGCCGGGGGAGACCGGGGCCCAGCTCAAGGGTGGCTACCTCAGACAGGCCTTCACACTGCACATGGGCCTGGATCCACTCCAGCCGGTCGGAGTTCTCCTTCTCCCGCACCCCTTCGTTCACCTGGGAACAGAGCTCCTCTGCCTTCTCCAGAGCGTGCTTCAAGTGGCTGTGGTCCGGGTGGTTTTCAGGGGTGTTTTCCAGGATCTACACAGGAGAATAAAAACAACCACCTCCTTTTAGGCAATGTGGGTGGGCCTGTGATCCAGGGTCCTGCAGGACCAGGCCCAGTGGGGCAGGGCACCATCCTTTCGTGAATAGCGCCCACTTAAGCCACCGCAGCTCTGAGCACCCACATGGCAATCACATAGCAGATGACAGCCACTCCTTGTTGGCTCCAGTGGGTGGCCTTGCGGGGGCCTCGCTTCTTCATGGGCCCAGTGGGGGCTAAGCCCCGACCAGGAAGCAGTGAATGGGCCCATCCTTGAGGTCTCAGTCGAGCCCCACACCCTGAATGTCCAGAGCAAGCTGTATGATCTGTCCTGCAAAATGCTAACATCACAGGGTGGACCCTGAGCCATACACGCAGACTCACAGGATCACAGCATATACATATAACCATGGGGCCCTTCGAGTTTCTCTTTGAAAATATTCTCCCTTGGCCGGGTGCAGTGGCTCATGCCTGTAATCCCAGCACTTTGGGAGGCCGAGGTGGGCAGATTACGAGGTCAAGAGATCGAGACCATCCTGACCAATATGGTGAAACCCCGTCTCTACTAAAAATACAAAAATTAGCTGGGCATGGTGGTGCACGCCTGTCCCAGCTACTTGGGAGGCTGAGGCAGAAGAATCGCTTGAACCCAGGAGGCAGAGGTTGCAGTGAGCCAAGATCACACCACTGCACTCCAGCCTGGTGACAAAGCGAGGCTCCATCTAAAAAAGAAAGAAAGAAAGAAAGAGAGAGAGAGAAGGAAGGACGGACGGACGGACGGAAGGAAGGAAGGAAGGAAGGAAGGAAGGAAGGAAGGAAGGAAGGAAGGAGGGAAGGAGGGAAGGAGGGAAGGAGGGAGGGAGAGAAGGAAGGAGGGAAGGAAGGAAGGAAGGAAGGAAGGAAGGAAGGAAGGAAGGAAGGAAGGAAGGAAGGAAGGGAGAGAGAAAGAAAATATTCACCCTGTATTCACCCTGTTTTGCAGAGGAATAAACTAGTCCCTGAGACCAGGAGCAGAGCCCAGCCATCCCAGCCCCAGTTCCGTGCTGTTTTCCCACCTGTCCACTCGGGGAACTTACAATGCAATTCTGGCATTTGATGTGCAGTGTTCCATTAACCCACTGATCTAAGAGCCAAAGGTGCCCTTGGAGGGCAGGGCAGGGACAGCGCGGTCTATGCTTAGCTTGCAGCCTGGGGCATAAGAGGAGCAGTGGCTGCAGCAAGGGTGAGGGCACCTGCACAGAGAATGGCTCCTTCCTGGGTCCACGCACTTCTGGAGCCACATGCAGATGGGTGCATCAGAGAAGTGTGTGCTTTTTTAGGCAGATCATTAGAGGTGGTGGCTAAGAGTGCCAGCTCTGGAGCTGGACCTCCTGAATTTAAATCCCTGCCCCACCACAGACCAGCAATGATTTGGGTTGGTCATATACATGTTCTTTTTTTTTTTTTTTTTTTTTTTGAGACACAGTTTTGCTCTTGTTGCCCAGGCTGGAGTGTGGTGGCACAATCTCGGTTCACTGCAACCTCTGTGTCCTGGGTTCAAGCAATTCTTCTGCCTCAGTCTCCCAAGTAGCTGGGACTACAGCCACCACGCCTGGCTAATTTTTGTATTTTTAGTAGAGATGGCGTTTCACCATGTTGGCCAGGCTGGTCTTGAACTCCTGACCTCAGGTGATCCACCTGCCTTGGCCTCCCAAAGTGCTGGGATTACAGGCGTGAGCCACTGCACCTGTAAATGTTCTTTTTGTCTCGCTCTGTCACCCATGCTGGAGTACAGTGGCACCATCTCGGCTCACTGCGACCTCTGCCTCCCTGGTTCAAGCAATCCTTCTGCCATAGTTTCCTGAGTAGCTGGGACGACAGGTGTGCACCACCACACCCAGTTAATTTTTGTATTTTTAGTAGAGACAGGGTCTCGCCATGTTGGCCAGTCTGATCTCGAACTTCTGGCCTCAAGTGATCTGCCCGCCTTAGCCTCCCAAAGTGCTGGGATTACATGCGTGAGCCACCACGCCTGGCCCACGTAAATGTTCTGAGTCTCAGGTTCCTCACATGAGAAATGGGGAGGTTAATAGCCTCCTTTGTATGGTGTGTGGAGAACTAAATGATACACGTGGACCTCTTGGCAAAGCACCTGGCCCTTAGAAAGTGCTCAATAAACGAGGGTGATTACCATCAGATCTTCAAAGGACATCGAGACCCCTAAAAACAGTTATCACCCTGGGCTGGAGAATGAAGAAAGACCCTAAGCCACATTTAAAGTGTACCAGGAGAATGCTGAGGGCATATTTGCCCAGGCCTTGTCCACATACAAATGACGTAAATAGCCCTGATTCTGAATAATATCTCATCCCAAAGGCATACCGTGGTTTAAAGTCCTAAGTAGATGCTCAAATGGAGAAAACACACTGTTTTCTATGTCCTGTGTGTCCACAAATCAATTCCAAGCAACAACCACAACCTCTGGGCCAAATCCTGACTGTACATTAGAATCCTTTTGGAAAATCTGAGGCCTCATCCGTGACTAAATCGAAATCCCTGGGGGTGAAACTCAGGCTTCGGGGTTTTCTAGAGGTTTCCAGATGTTCTAAAATGCAGCCAAGTCTGAGAACCACTACTACAGGCTAGGAACCCACCCAGCTGGCTTGAGTAAATTCATTTGTTTTGTTTAGTTTCAAAATTCAAACAGGTTTATCAATTTTTCTAATTATAAAATTAATATTGTACAATGTACAAAATTTAGAAAATTCAAAAAGTTATAAAGAACCTAAAAATCACCAATAATCTCCCCATTATTTCAAGAATAAAAATTGCTTTGGGAGGCCAAGGCAGGATGATCACTTGAAGTCAGGAGTTTGAGACCAGACTGGCCAACATGGTGAAACCCCGTCTCTACTAAAAACACAAAACTTAGCCAGGCATGACTGTACATGCCTGTAGTTTCAGCTACTCAGGAGGGTGAGGCAGGAGAATTGCTTGAACCCAAGAGGGGGACACTGCAATGAGTTGAGATCGTGCCACTGCACTCCAGACTGGGTGACAGAGTGAGACTCTGTCTCAAAAATAAATAAATAAAAATAAAAATAAAAATTGTATCATACTACCATTTTACAAAAACTACCATTTTACACTGTACTGTTTTGTACATTGCTTTATAGTACAATGTCCATTGTACTATAGTTCCATGTCCATTTCATATATATTATCATTTTTGAGGGTTTATAATATATTATTATTGGGGCCGATCCCAATAATGATAGAGCACGTTATGGAGCACAATGCATCTAAGTAGCTACCTTCCCATGAAACTTCATGTTGCTTCCAACTTTTCAGTATTTCTTAAATTACTTCCTTAGAATAAATTCCTAGAGGTGGAATTGCTGAGCCAAAGAGAAATTATAGTTTGATCTACACATCGCCTTCCAAAAAAGGCTGTATCAATTTAACTTCCACCCAGATCTCTGCCAACACTGAGGACCTACAATCTTTTCAATATACGCCCATCTGGCAAGCCCAAATCAAAGTATGTTCTTGTTTTGTTATGTATTTTCTTTTATTGCCTGTGAGTTTGAACTTTTTGTACATTCAGTACATAAGTGTTCTCAATGATAAAACATTTATATACTGCCTAGTATAACCCACTTTGCATACATTAACTCAGTTAATTCTCACATCACTATGCAGTAGGTACTATCAGTGTCCCTATTTTACAGACAAGAAACTGAGGCCCAAACTGAGGCCCAACTTGCCCAAGAGCACACAGCGGTAAGTACCCAGATTCAAACCCCAGCCAGCCTAGCTCCAGGCTATATGCTCTTCACTGCTATTCTATACTGCCTACTGCCTCTCAGCAACTCCCAGTTCTATATTCTACCTTTTTTTTTTTTTTTTTTTTTGAGATGGAGTCTCGCTCTGTCACCAGGCTGGAATGCAGTGGCGTGATCTCGGCTCACAGCAACTTTCACCTTGCGGGTTTAAGCAATTCTCCTGCCTCAGCCTCCCGAGTAGCTGGGACTACAGGTGTGCACCACCACACCCAGCTAATTTTTGTATTTTTAGTAGACGTGGGGTTTCACCATGTTGGCCAGGATGGTCTTGATCTCTTGACCTTGTGATCTGCCCGCCTTGTGATCTGCCCGCCTTGGCCTCCCAAAGTGCTGGGATTACAGGCATGAGCCACCATGTCCAGCCTTTTTTTTTTTTTTTTTTTCTTTTTTGAGACAGAGTTTCACTCCGTCACCCAGGCTGGAGCGCAGTGACTCCATCATAGTTCACTGCAGCCTGACCTTCCAGACTCAAATGATTCTCCCACCTCAGCCTCCTGACACACGCCACCATGCCTGGCTAATTTTTTTATTTTTATTTTTGTATAGATAGGGTTTTACCATGTTGCCCAGACTGGTCTTCAACTCCTGGGCTCAAGCAATCCTTCTGCCTCAGCCTCCCAAAGTGCTGAGATTACAGACATGAGCCATCGTGCCTGGCCTTTCCCTATTTTTCTATTAGAGTATTTGTGGTTGTTTTAAGGGTACTTGATATAGCTATAGATATTTATATTTTAGTAGCTATGTATGTACAGCTAAAAATATGTTTAACCAGTTTATGTCTGTCATTTGTCTTTTCATTTTCTCTCTTTTTTTTTTCTATCACCCAGGTTGGAGTGTAGTGGCGTGATCACAACTCACTGCAGCCCCAAACTCCTGGGCTCAAGGATCTTCCTGCCTCAGCCTCTGGAGTAGCTAGGACTACACATACACGTCACCGTGCCTGGCTGAGTTTTTTAAAATTTTTGTAGAGATGGGGGGGGTCTCACTATGTTTCCCAGGCTGGTCGTGAACTCCTGTCCTCAAGCGATCCTCCCACACCTTGGTCTCCCAAAGTGCTGGGATTATAGGCATGTGCCACCATACCCAGCCTGTCATTTGTCTTTAAACTTTGCTCGTTATATTTTGTGGTGAGAACTTTTTAAGAAAAAATTTTGTGTAAATAACACATTAGCACATTCTTGGTATGCAAGATTCAACCATTACAGAAATATGTACATTAAATGTAAAAATTTCCTTCACTCTCCTACCCCAGAGGTAACCACTGCCAAGAGACTGAAGGGCACTCCTTTAGATGCCCTTTATATATTTAATAGTTGCATATAAAGTTTTCCCCTCTTTTGGAAAAATGCATCATACTGTAGGATTGCTTAGTGAGTTTAGTGTTGCTTTTTCACATAACAGCATTTTCTCAGTGTCTTTCCACGCTAATACATAGAGTAGAAGTTGCCTTGTATCTTTTAAAATATTTTCATAGTACAGATCTACCATAATTATTTAACCATTCCTATTAATGAACATATAGGTTGTTCCCTGGAATAAAATTTGGGTTTTTGCTTTTTGTTTTTTGTTTTTTTATTTTTTGAGACAGAGTCCCACTCTGTCACCCAGGCTGGAGTGCTGTGGTGCAATCTTGGTTCACTGCAACCTCTGCCTCCCAGGTTCAAGATATTCTCCTGCCTCAGCCTCCTGAGCAGCTCGGATTACAGGTATGCATCATGTAAGGAACATGGCTGTGCTGCAGCCAGGCAGGCATAGGCAGATGTAAACATCCTGCATGACTCAGCAGGATTAGAGCGCAGGTGCACAATTCCATGCATTATATAATCACAGCTATGTAGCCATAACATGGGAGGCTCATCACCTGGCTCTAAGCCACTATTGTGTGGGATGTATATAAGGGCAACACTGACAGTATGAAAGAGCTGCTGAATAAAGCCATGTCCCATCTACCTGCTGCCTCTCAAGTGTTCTTTCAGCTCCCTGACCCACATCCACCCACTCCCCTCAGACCTCAGCTGGGACTCAAACCTGACATGCCATCACTCCAAGCTAATTTTTTCTGTGTTTTTAGTAGAGACAGGGTCTCATCCTGTTGGCCAGACTAGTCTTGAACTCCTGACCTCAAGTGATCCACCCATCTCGGTCTCCCAAAATGCTGGGATTACAGGCGTTAGCCACCATGCCCAGGTGAAAGTTTGGGTATTTTTTAGGTTGCTATGATCTAAATCCTTTAAGTTTCTTTGAGACCATGCTAAGAATTTCTCCACATCAGTATCATAAAATTATTTAGCCTTAGTACTTTAGTGTATTTCATACGTATCTCATAGCTCATAGCTGACCACGGTTTTCAGTTCTCTTCTTAGTTCAGCTGGTTTTCAGTTCATTCTTCTGGGTGCTCTAGAAGATTTTCAATTGTGTTTCTGCAAATAATGAGTTTGGTTTTTTCCCTTTTTAATATTTGTGCTGTTCAGTCCTTTTCTTGTTTTAGTTTTTCTCCCATTGGCTAGATCTAGAACACCTATTTTAAAAACTTGTTTTCAACTTCAGTTTGCAATTAAACACTGGGAGAAAAAAGAGAAGTACTGAGCTAATTAAATAGTAACTGTGGCATTGGAAGAGAGAAAACAGTAGGTTGAAAGCTTATTTCAAAGCTAATTATTTAACTCAGCCAAAGATCTACAGTGTATTTTGTGGAGTTGAGCTGGGGCTGGACTGAGGAGATGGCTTATGTGGGAGGGAGATTTGTCACATGTAAGAAGACTGAGCAAATAAGGAAACATATTGAGGATAATGAGAGCCAGGCTCTTCACAGAGTAGGGAGTTACAAATGCATAAGGGGAAAGGCTGGAATAAATTCTGCAGTATTGGATTAGAATAGGAGGTATTGGTGTGAATTCATGAGTTCTAACATACATGGATAGATGGATCTAGAAATAAATATAAATATATGTGCATATACATTGCATATGTAAATATGTGTGCATGAAAAGACATTCATATATTTCCCAGCTCTGCCACTGAGAGGAACACAAAGCAAAATCACCCCAGTAGCAATGAGCACACCAGTGCCCACATCTGAATGTCTAAATACCATTTTCCATGAAAAGGAACCAGATCTAAAACCTCTTTCCAGGAGCTATACTCTGTGTGGTTTTACAAACATAGGCTCAGAGGACATCTAAATCCGTTTTACAGGTGGGGACACTGAAATCCTAATTTTGTTCTTTTTTTTTCTTTTGGTATTGGCTTTCTTAAAGTGACAGGAGAATAACAATCATCTAATATCAACACACAGTGTCTGATATGGTTTGGTTGTGTCTCCACCCAAATCTCATCTTGAATCATAGTTCCCATAATTCCCACATATTGTGGGAGAGACCAGGTGGAGATAATTGAATCGCTGGGGTGGCTTCCCCCATCCTGTTCTCATGATAATGAGTGAGTTCTCACAAGATCTGATGGTTTTATAAGGGGTTTCCCCTTCGCTGGGCTCCCATTCTTCTCCTTCCTGCCATCACGTGAAGAAGGATGTGTTTGCTTCCCCTTCCACCATGATTGTAAGTTTCCTGAGGCCTCCCCAGCCATGTGGAACTGAGTCAATTAAACCTCTTTCCTTATTAATTACCCAGTCTTGGGCAGTCCTTTATAGCAGTGTGAGAATGGACTAATACAGTGTCTCACAATGGCCTTCTGAAGACAGATCGTAGCTTTATGTTTCTTTCTCTTTTCTGCTAAGAAAATCAAGGCCTAGAGGCACTGGGCCTGTCTTTAAGAAAGAATCAAGGGAGAAAGGCACAGACCACAGACTGTTTCTGTGATTCCATGTTATTTTCTTCTAGAGAAAAAAATTAAAAAAAAAAAAAAAAGAATCAAGGACTAAGCTCTCATTTTCTGATTTACAAGGTAGAAGCCACTTGGTCACACATCTGAAGGCTGTGCAGTATTAGCTCTCATTTTTTAAAAAATAGAAATAGGGTCTCATTAGGCTGCCCAGGCTGGGCTTGAACTCCTGGGCTCAAGCGATCTGCCCGTGTCGGCCTCCCAAAGTGCTGGGATTACAGGTGTGGGCCACCGTGCCTGGCCAGCTCTTTGCATGATAAACCAGCTTTTCTTTCTGAGTTACCAAGCAGACCTCTCTGACACCTTATTGTCTTGTGCTTTCTACACAATAGCTACCAGGTGTGTTCGCTGGGAAACTTGTCCATGACCCCAGCCCCCTCCAGTGCAGAGAAAGCATTCCCCTGCTTGAAAAGGCAAGACAGGTACTTACATTTTTAATGATCAGTGGGTATCTTGTTACCCGTTGCATAGGCTTCAGTATAAAACTAGAGAGTGGCATCCCTTTACACCGAGGATCCATTGCCAATCTCTGAAATAAGAGATGTTTTTAAACGTACTTAAGAAACTTGCAAAATCCAAAGTTAGTGACATCAATACTAATGACAGCGAGGACTCTCCACCCATTATCTCATTCATCTGGATGTCAACTGAGAGACCTGGGGTTGGAAGGGCCTGACTAGTTACCCTGTCCAGGATGACACACTTTCCAGATGGAGAATGGAGACCCACAGACGTGACTCAGCCAGCAGGGTTAAGCCCTGCACTCCAGATTCAGCATACCTTCCATGGCATGCATAGTTCCTTATGCACAGAGATGAGATTCCGGCTTTACAGAGAATATTTTGTCTGGATGTCTGCAAAAACTTTATAACATTCCCAGGAACAAGAGTCACAAGACTATACGGTTAGAGCTGCTGGAAGGGCTAAATCTCATTGTCTAGTTTTGGGTGGAGCCTGCACGTGCCTCTGGGAGCTCCAGGCAGGGCTGAGAGAGAGGAGCTGAGACACCAGATGTCAAGACTCCAGTTTCAGGGTCTGGCCCCTTAGCTGTCAATGGCTGTGGTCCAGTTAAATGCCTTAGAAACAGGCAGCTGCGTTGACTGGAGTCCGGAGTCCTGATAACTGTCAGCACTGGGACCTGCTCCAGCTGTGGACACCATCACTCCAGGAACACCTCGCAGCTGGCAACGACATGCCACACTCCCGCTGAGATGAGGTGGGGAGGGACAATGAGACCCCTGCCCTGGACTGGTGTCAGCACTTCCCTGAAGTTCAAGTGCATCCAACAATGAACTCATCTTGCTCGGGCCCAGGAAGAGCCCAGCCCTTGGCTGAAACCCCAGGTGGTCCATGGCGCCCAGCAGCTCAGCGTCTGCTCTCTTGTCTCCATCCACCCAAGGCCTTCTTCTGAGCAATCTTCCTCCCCTTGGAATGACCTCAGAGTGCCCCCTGCCTTGGCTGGCAAGTCTAGGCTGAGAAACACCACGGGAGGCAGAAACAAGCAGCTCACACGAGGCTCTGACCAAGAAGAGGCCACGCTTATGCCTCACCACAGTAAGTCCACAAGCACCGTTCTAGGGCAGGTGAGGACGGCCTGTCCCCAAAACGCATGAGATCCAAAGATATGCCTGCTCTTATTATTTTGCTGTTTATCCATCGAAAGATACCTGTTTCATAGAAGCTATTTTATTCTTTTCCTCCTGTTTTTCTCCAGGAGAGGTGGGGGCTGTTTGAATGGACCAGCATGACCAGCAGAGACCCACCCTGACCAAGGCCAAGTCCCAGAGCTGCAGGTCTTCCAGCAGCATCCGCATTACCTCCCCAAACATCCCCCAGTGGACACCCAACTCTCCAGACCCCTGCTACCCCCAAGGAAGAGGTCCTGGCATCCCACACTGACTCCCACGGGCTGCCTAGGGCTGGACGCCATAAAGCAGAACCAATTGCAAAAAGAACGAAGGGGCCACTGGGAGTCCTGGCCATTCCCTCTGCAAGTGAGGGGCACAGACTGACAAAGAACTGAGGATGTGGCGATTAAACACAAGAGGAAATCTGAGACCTGCCTGGGCCTTGCAAATGAAATGAAAGATTTAAACAGGCATCCAAATAACACCACTAGCATCTGGAAAACAGATCCTTGAAGACACTTCAAAGTTTCCAAGCCCAGGGCTCGCCCCTCCTCTACAAGCCCACCCCTTTGGTGACAACCATACTTGCCAGTGAGTGCCAGTCCCCTAAGGCTTAGCCAAGACCCCCAGGCCCTGTTGGCCTCTAGAGGGAACACCCTTGCAGACTTTTGAATTAGCCCCTCACACGTCCAGCTGCCCAAAGATCGCCACTCTGGGGCCCAGTGTCTGCACAGCCTGGCTCCTTACTTTGACGAACTCCTTGAAGTCTGGGGCCTCGTCTGTCTTCTGCTGGATCAGGGCAGCCCCGTTGAGCTGGCGGCTGCAGAAGCGGATGTAGGGTTGCATGTGCGGCAGCTGGGCGCTCAAGATGTCACCAATCATCTTCACGGGCATCTTCTCCCCGGACATCTTCTTACGGACTCTCAGCGCTCTGCACGGAAACAGAGGAGGTGAGCCCCCCCGCCTTCACACTGTCTGACAGCACCACGGCACACTTCTAGGTTGCACAGAAACAGAATGTGTATGAGGGGCACAGACTCAAGGGCCACTAAAGGATCTATTTGAGAGACAAGGAATGGAGAAAGAAATGAGTCTAGGGCTACAGAGAGGTAGCACCAGGGCATTTCTCTTTGGCAGAGTGGCTGTTTGTTACAATTTGTTTTTCTTGTGCAGAAATACGGAGATTTTTCTTGAACAACTCAAACGGGTCCCCTGTGTTGATGCCTCACTACACTGATTATCGGTGGTGAAAGCCCCAGGCTGATGTGGCCTGAGCACTGATCCTATTTCCAGGAGACACTTCTGCCCAAGGGAAGCTGCTATTGCCAGAGGATGGGGGAGGTTGATTTTTGGACTAAAAAGAACATAATTAAGATGGCAAAAGAACTGCCTTGGCAAAATAACCCCATGAGATTCAGCAAAAGCCAGGCATAAATGACTGTTTGAACTACCCCTGCAATTTGCTGCTTCATTGCTAGAGCTAAGTTAACTAAATTAAGAGGAGTTCAGAAAAGAGGTCTATTGCTATGATAATGGGCCAGTGAACCCAAAACATGTATCTCCTGGAATCCAGGAGAGGTGTTGATGGGACTGGGCAGTGTTTGTTCCGGGGTCTGCCTGCAGTGTGAGTGCTCAGAGCTATGGTAACTAGGACAGTGCTTCCATTCTCCCAACTTCAACATCTGAACCCTTAACACCAGCATCTGGAAGAAGGGCACGGCACTGAGCTTATACACGGTAAGGACAGCAATGTACTACAGGCAGGACGACAACCTGAAGCCATGGGTGTGTTCAGCTATCCTAGTGAGTGATCATGGGTGGATGGATGGGTAGACGGAACAAAATGGTATAACCTAAGACTTTAACACAAGGCTGGGAGGATGTCCCTACTGAATGCCTTTGGCTGCTTTCATGGTCATGTTGGAGAAGCCTTTGAGGTATGGGGTGGGCTACTGAATTCCAAGGAAGCTCTGCAATATTTATATTAGGCTTTAAAAACTTCAGATCACTTTCTTTTCTTTCTCCCACATTTTCAGCTAAAATAAAATCCCTTGGACCCAGCAAGCCAAGGAGACAAACTTAGGGACCATGAATGATGTGGTGTGAGCAGTCAGCGATTCCACCTGAAGTGGATGCCCTCAGGGGGAGATCAGCGCTGGCTGCCTGGGCTGTGGGGAGCAGAGGCAGCTTGGTGTCCTCAGGATGGCCCAAAGGCCACTGTCCCCTTGAGAGGTTGGTGTGAAATACCGCAACGTGCAGAAATGTGCTCAAGGGCGATGTCACCAATAATTTGGGGGAATGAGAGCCCTGAATAGCCATGTTACAAACTTGCCAGGAATGGAAACAGGAAGAAATTCCATCATTCCATCATTTTCCTATGAGGAGTAGTTTTTTTTAACAAGAGAATAAAAAGTACTTTCACCCTTTCCTTCTCCTGTTTTGTTTGAGACAGAGTCTCACTCTGTAGCCCAGGCTGGAGTGCAGTGGTACAATCCCAGCTCACTGCAACCTCCGCCTCAGCCTCCTGAGTGGCTGGGACTACAGGCACCCATCACCACACCCGGCTAATTTTTATATTTTTAGTAGAGACGGGGTTTTGCCATGTTGGCCAGGCTGGTCTCGAACTCCTGACCTCAAGCGATCCGCCCACCTTGGCCTCCCAAAGTGCTGGGATTACAGGCATGAGCCACCGTGCCCAGCCCCTGGCCTATGTTTTCTTAAAGGATGAAGGAGACAAGAAAAAAAGAAAAGAAGAAAGATCATCTGCAGACAGTGATTTGTCTTGAGGACTTAGTTCCTGGGTTCTGCAGACCCACACTTGTAGACTGGAGTTACCCAACCAGCAGACAGGCCTAAAATTAGGCCTGATTTGCTATGGACTAGGCACCTATTAGATTCAGTCTTGGGTCTTCATCCAGGATGGTCTACTGTATAGGCAAAGACTTATGAGGACTGCAGGGTGTTACCAGGCCCAGGGATCAGGTGACTCAGCTGCTGCAGCCACAGCCCTGAGAGGGGCCACTGGCACTGCGTGTGGTGAGCTGATTGGCAGTCTCCTAGAAAGGTTTACAGATGAGAGGGCTTGAACTACGAAAGGCAGTTGACTGGCTAACAAACAATTCAAAGAGCGCTCTATGTTTGCTGAACACGAGTGTCCCTAACCCTCTGAAGTCTGCAGCCCAAGCAGACAGTCATGAAGTTAGCATTTATTAATGCTTCCTATGTGTCAGACACAGTTTTACATATATTATTATCCCCATTTCCTATTGGGGAAACTGAGGCACACAGAAATTGAGTGATTTGACTAAAGTCACAGAGCTAATAGGTGACAGAGGTAACCCTGGAACCCAGGTCTGACTCCAGAGCCCATGGTTGGAACCACAGCCTCAGAGGCCCTGACCCACCTCCTGCCACGACCGCCTCCAAGCTGCTCTGGGCACCTGCCCATCTTCCCAGATGCGGCTGCCCTGCTCCCGCCATCTCGCCCTCGGGCCTTTCCCTGCTGGTCCCAGCCTCGGCCTCTGTACTTCTCGCCCTGCTGGACTTCCCACCATCCGCTCCATGCCCTCTTTCCTTCCCTCTTCTCCTTCTCCCAGCCCCACATCCTTTTCTTCTTTCTCACCATCTGTCTTTACCCCAAACTGATTTTTATTTTCTATTTTTCCTCCATTTTCTGCTTAAACAAGATAAAATGGAACCCATTCTTCTTAAGTTAAAAGGAAGATGAGTCAAATATTTAAGAAAAACACTTTTTTGAGACTAGTTTTTTTTTCTTTTCTTTTCTTTTTTCTTTTTCCATCAAGGGGACAGGAAAGGCTCTTGATAAAAAACAGTTCCCCAAACCTGGGTTGGTCACCCCACCTCACTTCTGCTTCCCTTCTGCTATCATTTCTTTTTGTGTGTGCGTGTGTGACACAGTCTCACTCTGTTGCCCAGGCTGGAGTGCAGTGGCGCAATCTTGGTTTACTGCAACCTCTGCTCCCTCCCCAGGTTCGAGCAATTCTCCTGCCTCAGATTCCTGAGTAGTTTGTGTTATAGGCATGTGCCACCACGCCCAGCTAATTTTTTTTTTTTTTTTTTTTTAAGTAGAGATGAGGTTTCCCCATGTTGGCCAGGCTGGTCTCGAACTCCTGACCTCCAGTGATCTGCCTGCCTCAGCCTCCCAAAGTGTGGGATTACAGACAGGCATTAGCCACCATGCCCGGCCCTTCTGCTATCATTTCTGACAGCTGTCCTGAGGGCCCTGCTCCAGACTCTGGATATAAAAAGGTTCTAGACCTGTGTATCCTACCTTGTCTATGAAAGGCACATGTCTTAGGTCTCAGCTTCCTTGCGAGAGCGCCAGCCTTTCACTGTAACCCTCAGTGAAGCATCACTAGTAGGAAGTCCATGTGTCCCAGTTAGCCCTTTCTATTTTCACGTTATTTATTTATTGTTGACTCGTTTGATAACTGCCATGCCCCCTGCCCCACCCCAAACACAAGGCGTGTAGGATCAGGAGTAGCAGATATATGGCTGCTCACTGGTCGCAGTCCGGGGATTGCTGCCTTAACTTCTCCTTATCCTCAAATGCCTCCCTCTCTCGGCTGCCAGGAGCCTCGGTCTCCCCTCATCACAGTTATTCCTCGGCATGAAGACATTATGTCTGTGCAGCCACGCAAATACAGCACAAAGTTCATTGTCCAGTTTATGATGTGGATGTTCACTCTACAATTCTTTCAAGTTTTCTGTATATTTGAGATTGTTTCTAGTAAAATGTAGAAAAGAAGAAAAAGAAATCAGGTCCCCAGAAAGCTCCAGTTAAACGCAAGATTTTATCTGGAGGATGAAGACATGAGCCAGTTAGTCCAAACTAGCTAATCCAGGAATCAGAGGAACGGGGATAGAGAACCTTGGGGTGGAGGGGAGCCGGCAGCCCCATACACATCAGCGCCCTGATCGACGGCGTGCCCCTGGGACACCCGATCCCTTGCTCTCAGAATGACCCTGCGTGGTAGGCAGGACAAGCACCATGACTGCCATCTTAATGCCCAAAACAAGTTATGAGGGGCTGGAGCCCAGACAAAAACTTGGGATGTCTGACTTCTGGGTCTAAGCTTTTTTCCACGGGGGCAGGACTGGGCAGAGTCTCTGTTCTGGGACCTAGGCATCATCCACAGAGCAGCCACCCTGCTGTGTGACTTTAGGGAAGTCACTCAGCCTCTCTGAGCTTCGCTGCTTCAGCTGTAACAGGGCTGTCAGTTCCCACCTCCATCGCTGTGGAGCAAGTCAGAGCTGACAGGAGGAAGAAGCACGCAGGCCCGGCCCCGCACAGCTCAAGAAAGAGGCTGCTGCTTCCCAGACAGGACTTAAAAGACAACAGAGAGGTATTGGGAACTGAGGCCAACACCAGTTTCCCTCAGGCCAACCCTGAAGCGCGGGAAGCCCTCTCTAAGGGCTGCTTGGGAACCTCAGACGCCTCTCCCGCCTCCCCCAGCCCCTACTGATAGCTGCCCAAGGAAAAAGGTTTTAACTTACAGGTATATTTTCTTTTCTTTTTTTCTTTTTATGAGACAGGGTTTCACCCCGTGGCCCAGGCTGGAGGGCAGTGGTGCGATCTTGGATCACTCCAACCTCCGCCTCCCGGGTTCAAGCGATTCTTCTGCCTCAGCCTCCCTAGTAGCTGGGATTACAGGCGCCCGCAACCACACCCAGCTAATTTTTGTATTTTTAGTACAGATGGGGTTGCACCATGTTGCCAAGGCTGGTCTCAAACTCCTGACCTCAAGTGATCCACACATCTCGGCCTCCCAAAGCACTGGGATTACAGGCGTGAGCCACCGTGCCCAGCTATCATCTATGTAAATGAGAATACTGAGGCCCAGGGACCAAAGTGACCTGCCGGACGACACACAGCCAGAGGCAATAGCGGATGTGAGCCCAGGGGTCTGACGCCAGACCTAAGTTCGAAACTGACACCAGACCGAAGTTCGAAAGGTTTCCACAGCATCGGCGTGGGGGCCAGTGAAGTCCAGACCTTCTCTACAAGCCTGCCTGATGTCACCTTGGATTATTCGTCTTCTAGAGCACCAAGCCAGCAGACATTATGTATCTTTCTTTGTGTCCACCTCTCCACACCTCCTCTCCATCCCTTCATCCACTCCCAAACACACGCTCAGGAAAGCGGGGACCTGAAATTACTTTATAAGAACAATGCAGAGACCACGTTTAGGAAACGGTGGCTTCCCAAGGACACAGATGAAGATCAGGAATGGACGCAAGGTTCTTGGAGCCTACCCTCCATCCTCGGGCCCAGGAAGTGGGTGGCCCTTCCTCCCAGCAGGGAGTATCACGCGTCCTGGAGGCTGTGACTTAATCTGTATTCTAGCAAGTGATGTTACAGTGAGAGCGTGGTGGATACAGATTTTGGGTTTTGACTTTTTTTTTCTAAGAATTGGAAGAGACCTTTGTGATGATCGAATCCAACCCCTTCATTTTACAGATGGGGAAACTAAGACTCAAAAAGGAAAGGCAGTGAGTAAGTCAGAATCCAAACCCAGGTCTCTTGACCCCTGGCCCTGGAGCTGCCTCTGTAAACTAAAGTTGGAAGAAAATACAAGCAGCCTTGGGTCGGCTTCCCGGAGTGATCCTGAGGAACTGCTGGCGTCAGGCAGTGAACAGTTCCACACTTTTCCATCTGCAGGGCCAAGAATGCCTCAAAAGACCAATAATCCCCCATGGGATCCCGCGTCCGAGGGAAAGCGTGGAGTGGGCAGCCCCACGCCTCAGGATGGAGCCAGCGCCATCAGGAGCCAGCCTCGTCCTAGCCCTGGAAATTCACCACCGCAGTCATTCACCCAACAGCAGGCTCTGGGGTGCCCAGGCGACCTACTCTCGCAATGAGAGATTCGGAGTGCGTTTCCAGAAAGCATGAAGGCACAAAAGGGTGATGGTGCTTGTGAGTGGCAATGAGCAAAAAAAAAAAGCCAGAAAGAAACACAGGGCAGCATGCAGAAAGGACACACAGACCCACAGAGGTGCTAGTGCGTGAGAGCCGAGGAGGCCAAGCCAGGCTGGGGATTAGAGGAGAGGCTTACTTCAGTAGTTTGATATTACACATAATCAGCTCCTTCCAGTTCACAAAAATCATAGCAACCTCTTTCTCTGTCAGCAGCTCAGACTCCATCAGGGGTTTTTGAAAGATCTACAGATGCAGAAAACGAAGCAGTTCAGAAAGCAGTTAGCTTAAAACTCACACACGCACACACCGATCCGCTGAGAGCAGGGAGAGGGCTCAGGTGTCTGTGCCTTGGCTGAGAGGCCCAGAGGTGAACGCCGGCTTTCCTGCAGTTTCTGAAGCAGAGGGCCCCTCCTCTGCCCTGGAGGCTGGAGGGGTCCCCGCAGGGCCTGCACTGTTTTACAGGGGAAGGAGGCCAGCTCTAGTCTCCAGGAGACAGGACTTAACTCCACCAGACAAGCAGGGAGGCCGGTACCAAGTCATGCACTCAGGCTAGGCGGTCTCACCTGCCCACTGGGAGGGGGTGGGCCGGTGTGAAAAGCAGGTCTTAAAGATGCCGGTGGCTATGGGCAGTCCCTTCATCTGCACAGGTAAGCTGAGGGCATTCTGAGAGGAGCAGCCCAGGCGGCAGGTCCTCTAATAAGCCAGTGGCCACCTCGGTGACTGACTCCATTGCTGCGTCCTCAGCCTCCTGGGCTGACCCTGGACAGACCCAGTACTTGCAGGCCCACTACAAGGGGTGGGTGCCGCCCTTCTCCTGGGCTCTGGAAAATGAGTGAGTCCCTCCACGCTCTGTGTGGTTGGGCAACTCGCAGTAAATCACAGATCTCAGTGGAACCCCGTGTGGTAGAGCCCCCGCCTGCAAGGAGGTCATTTTCTCCCACGGGAGACAGGAGGCACTCCGGAAGGCTCTTTAGGGAAGGGGACAGCCCATCTTCGACATAAACTCGGCTGGGCTGCGGCTGCTCCCTGGGAGCCCTATTCCACAGGAGTCCTTAAGCCGGCGTTGAACCTGGCATGTGCCAGGGCAGCCACATACGGTGGTGCGTTTTGCAGAGTGCACAAAGGAGCCGTATCTAACGGGTGACACTTGCACCCTGGACATCCTGAACTGTATATTTAATAACAGTCAAACACCTTGAGAAAAGAGTACCTTTTTGAATTTGCATCAATGCTTCCTAAGTGTTAACGGTGGTCCTGCAGCCAACAACTCACCCTGTACTCCTCCAACAGCGGCCGGCCCTGCTCTGTCTTTCCTGGATGTGAAGACTATCAGACAAGATGGTTTCACACCCATTTGGTGTGGTGGTGGTGGTGGTTTCCAGACTATCACAGCACTTTCCAAACTGCAGGTCCATCTCTGCAAATCCCTGTCTCCTAACATGGCACTTTCCCATGGATGTGGGGAAAAAGGCCTGCTGAGCAGCAGGAGCGCCTGGCTCCGCGTCTCCCCATAGTTCCAGCTGGGGTGGCCACGGTCCTTCTGGGAGGACTGACAAGATGAGGAGGCATCACCTCAGGTCAGGGGGTTTTGTGGGGGCCTGGGAGGAAACGTTGCCATTCTCAGTGACAGGTTTGTCTCGGGGTAATATGTGGCAGGAATGACTCGAGATAGCAGCTAGATAGCCCCCATTTCCAGATGCAACACTGAGGGCCAGGAGGGCAGCGTGGCTGGCTCCATGGCACCCCCTGGTTGGTGGCTGAGCTGCAGCCACTCTGAGTAAAGCGCGGACTCCAGCTCTCAGTCCACATGACTTCATCCATCAACTGCCCAGGGACTCACTAGACCTTGGCTAAGTGATCTCTGTCCCTCTACGGGAATGACTCAATGTTGGCCATAGATAAGCAACAAACTGTCTCTGTGGTCAGAATCTCCTATAGCATTGGCCGTCCGGATGCTCCCCAAACATCAGAAAGTGTCTTGAGCTCAGAACAGGACGCAGACCTCCTCGGCAGAACCCTCCCCACTCCCTCCCTCCTCGCTCCTTGCCGCACCCCCTGCCCCACCAGCTCCCTTACCTCTGTGACCAGCTGCAGGTCGTTCACGTAGTTCTCCTCTGTGACAATGAGCTCGTGGATGTATCCTTGTCGCTTTCTTTCAGTTGGGGTCAACATATCCAAGAGATGTAAGTCTGAACACCCTGGAAAACACAACCATTTGGGAGAATTTAGCACAGTCTCGGGAAGCCCACACTTCACACGGAAGATCCTTGTGGCTGCTGGGCCCTGAGGCCTCGCTCCAGTCCAGCAGGGTCGTGGGCTGAAGTGTGTCCTCCCCAGTAATGTGTGGAAGCCCTACCCCCGGTACCTGTGATTGTTACCTTATTTGGAAATAGTCTTTTCATATATAATCAAATGAAGATAAAGTCATACTCAGGGTGGGGCCCTGACCCTATAAGATCAGCGTCCTTATGAGAAGAAGACACAGAGACAGACAGGCAGAACCTGGAGTGATGTGTCTCCAAACCAAGACACACCCCGAGCCTTCAGAGTGAGGCTGGCACCTGCCAACACCTTCATTTGAGACTTCTGGCCTCCAGGAATGTGTGGCTATACCTGTGGTTTTAAGTCCCTCCGTTTGTGGTGGTTTGTTAGGGCACCCTAGAAACTGACACAGGCGGCACACTCCTGCTTCATCAGAAACACGAAAATAATGTGAAAACAAAACACTCAGTGACGACTGGCCAAAACCCATGAGGGCTCACGCCATGTCAGGCGGTGAACTGCATTTAATGCTCAAGTATTATACTAGAATTATCCCCATTTTACAGACGAGGACACTGAGGTTTACACAGGTTGACCGGCCCCAGGTCTCTCAGCTGGGAAGTGGTGAAGGCAAGAGCCGAACCCTGAGACTTGGGTTGCAGGGGCCGTGCTCTGTCCCCGAGCTCCAGGAGGCCACGGGTTATCTCTGTCGAGGTTGGTTTGTGGAGGGTGAGGTGGCTGTGCTGAGGCTCTGATGGTTCTGGGGACCAGGCGGATGCAGGGTGCCTCCTGACAGCACTGGGCACACACTTCTGGACAAGGCTGCTGCCTCGCCCTGGGGCGAGCTTGCCACAGACAGGGTAGTCCCTCCCACTGCAGAGAGCCTGGCACGAGACCACCACGGAGGCCAGGGCTGCCCGAGGGCGAAGGGCTACTCCGCTGCCCTGAGACAGTGCCCGCACTGGAAGTGCGGCTAACTCATGACTCTGCTCACTTAGCTTGTTATCTGGGCTTTTGTTTGAATGTTTGAGCCTCCTGCCCCAGACACACTGGAATGAGCAGGAGGGAGGCTTGGTTCTTGGGGGCATCCCATGTGCAGGCCTGGGCCCACCTCTCCTTTTTGTCAGAGGTTCTTTATTTAATCACAGAAGCCAGACTTGGAAGACAGACCCAGAGGTGTCCCGAATGCAGGTGGGAGGGTCCGGGCTGAATCCCCTTTACTGGTTCTTCCCATCCTCTCTGTTCCCCTCAAGGGGGCACAATGGAGCACAGTGCAAAAACCCCTGCTGGGGACCAGTGGCTGTCAAAGCGTGGTCCCCAGGCTGGCAGCATCAGCGTCACCCAGGCGCTCGCTAGAGATGCCCCTGCTGAAGTGACTCTGGAGTTGGGGGCTGGGCATCTGTGATGTAACAAGCTCTCCAGGGAATTTTGTTTTAGGCGCACTGATGTTCGAGAAGCCTGCTCTGGACTAGCAGGGGTTCCTTGAGTTTCCATCTTCCCTCGAGGGAGTTATCTGAGGCCATGACTAATCTAGCCTATATGCTGAAAGCTTCTGCAAATCGTATGATCCCTCTGGGGCAAATGATACCAGAGATTTCTTGGCAATTGCTTTGCTGCTTTAGAGGTTAACTCTCGGGTTGTGGTGCTTCCAGCCCTTGGTTTTGTCCCTTCTCTGGGCCAATTGTTCTTTCTGGATGCCGTAGCTTCTCTTGCTGGGACAGGAACATCCCAGGACCAGCAGGAGGATGCTGGGAAAGCGGCAGGAATGAGCCATCCTTACATCAACACCCTGACCTCACTTGGAGTCCCCTGCCCCGAGGTCAAGCAGAATTCCGCAGGACTGCGAGGTGAGCTCGCACCTTTGCACAGGTCTGCAGGTGCCTGTGAGCTTGGGCCGTCTGCTCAGCCACAGGTTTGGCCCAACAGTTCTTCCTGCCTCAGGGCGTAGACTGTCTTTTATTAAAACAGCTGCGCCAACAATGCACTCTCAGGAAGGAGGCAGGCCACGGGGCTCCCTGATTCCGTTCAGCCGAGCTGCTGTGTGAGCTCAGGTTTGCAGGAAGCTAAGTGATGTCTCCGAGTTCTTTGACTTTTACTGGGAAGGTCACCCAAGAGACACTCGAGTCTGGGGGAAATATATCTTGTTCCCACCCTTTTTCCCCCGACTCTCCCGTAAGGGAGTGAAAGGGCCCAGGCCTCAGGTCATTTCTTGTTAAAGGGCTGAATGCAGCCCCTGCGTTAGGCACCTGATGCCCTCTCACGGAAGCAGAGTCCCTGGCGTGTTCAGGACGTTCCCTTCTGCAGGGAGATTAGAATATTGGCGCAGAGTGGTAGCTCTAAAAGTCACCGCACACACACGGTGCAGTGACGTTTGCAGCCACAGAAACATCAGGCCAGTGGTGGCCACTGGCTGGGCCAGTTTTCTGAATGTCCCTTTGAGGATGTCCCACCGTTGCCTTGGAGAATCTGAGGGATGTTATGGTTTCTTGCTGCAGCGAATACATTTAGGGCACACTTTTATCGGGTTCACAGGCCCTTTTGAAGACTGTTCATAGATCTTATTCATTCACTGGGCAAATATTTACTGATGTCCTACTATGAGGCTGGGACTAACCACTCTGGGCGCTGGGGATTCAGGACGGAAGAGGGGAGGCTCCTGCCCTCCAGGGTATAGCTAAGAACCTGGGGGTCTGGTGGTCCTCAACAGGGGGTGGTACTGCCCCGCCCTCTGCTGAAGGTGGTACTGCTCCCCACCATGCTGAGGTCAGTACCGTCCCCACTCCCCAAAGGCTGAGGTTGCACTGCACCCCACTCCAGAGCCAGGGCTGAGAGTGTGCTCTTGGTTGTCACGGTGGAATCTGCCAGGCTGGCCAGGGCTGCTAAATGACCCACACCACGCAGGACACTGAACTGCCCACCCCAAATGCCAGTCGAGGAGCACCCTGTAGAGACACACTGGCGTGACTTGAAACTGACAACCCGACCAGAGTTCCAGTCTGCAGCACGGAGGTGCGAGGGGCCAGCAGACACGCATAGAACGACGTGGAATTGGAAAGAAGGACCTTTGAGGAAAAGTCCTGACTTGCTTTGGATTTCAGAAGTTCTTCTGAGTCTTCAAGTTTTACACGGCGCAGGTTGCGAAGAAGCTCAGAGCCAGAGCAACAGCAGAAGGCTCAGGGTAAATTTGGGCCATTTGTCCAAGAATACAAGGAGCCTGGGGCCAGTTGGGGACAAGGTGGAGGGCTGCTGCGTGGCCTCCTGCTCCAGGTAGCGTTGGCCTCTGGTCCAAATACTTTGCAAGGCCCAAGTCAGAGCTGATGGAGCTTGGAGGTCAGGGGAGGCTCAGGGCAAGTCTGGGCTGCTTGCCCCCACCAAATTCCACCTCTCGCAGGTCCACCTACCACCCTGCCTGGAGACAGGGGGATGGTCCTGATGGCCTCTGCAGAACACAATGAAAAGCAAAGGTTTTGTGGGGAGAGTCTTCATTATGTGCCAACGATGTTGGCTTGGAATTGTCTTTTTACCCATCGGATTGACCCACGGGAGGTTGTTTCAAAACCTGCTGGTGAATGCCAGACCCAGAGAACCATTAAAGATTTGAAATAGGCACTTTGAACTCAAAAATATCCTTCCTTTGAAAATTTCATATTTAGAAAAACAAGCGAGTTTAAAAACTCCATTATTCAAAGTAGGGTAAATGGAAAAGACATTTCAAATAAAAGCGTTTTCTTTAGGGGTGGAGGGATGTGGCCCTTCCCTCCTTTGGGTCCTAGGATAAACATGGTTTCTCGCCCCCTTTCCCAGGGAAAAATGAGAGGAGAAAATACATCAAATGGTTTTCCATGAATATCTTGGTGTGACGGAGGGATTCTCAAAACTAACTGAAATCCACACGCAGCTGAAATAATATTGCAAATGACTCCAGGCGGTTACAAATGATCCCCCATTACAGCCCACATAAAATTCCTAATCTATGTGCCGTCCCTTAGAATGTTGTCTAGTTAGACACATTTACGAAATGGAGAGAGATGTGATGGCCTTCTGGAAGGATTTTTTGAGTCTAGGCCCTGGAGGAAATAAATCATGGAAAAAAACCTTACCAATAAAAGGTCATCTTGCTTCCCTCAACTGATATTCGTATGAACAGCATCATTTCAAGAACTTGTTTTATTATAAAAGTAATACGCAAACACACGCTGATTATTAAAATTTCAAGGGCTACAGAGCATTCAGGGTAAAAAGTGCACCTCACCCATCTCCACACCTCCAATTATTCTACCTTTCCCAACGAGAAGCAGAATTTTGAAAACGAAGCCAGCCCCCGCAGCCAGTTGCCCATTGAGCAAAGCAAATAAACAGACCTTGTTCCTGTATGAAAGGGGCCAAAATATACAATAAGCTGGTCCATAAATATTTATTAAGTTCCTCTGAAGTCCAAGAGATGCAGAAATAAGCAAGATACTGTCCTTGTCCTCAGGCAAACTCACGATCTTGGGAGAGACACAACAAGAACATTAAATTTAAAATATTAATAGCAAGCAGCTGGGCTTGGTGGCTTATGCCTGTAATCCCAGTACTTTGGAAGGCAGAGGCGGGTGGATTGCTTGAGCCCAGGAGTTCATGACCAGCCTGGGCAACATAGTGAGACCCTCATATCTACAAAAATTTTAAAAATTAGCCATGCATGTTCTTAATCCAGTCTATCATTGATGGACATTTGGGTTGGTTCCAAGTCTTTGCTATTGTGAATAGTGCTGCAATAAACATGTGGCACATATACACCATGGAATACTATGCAGCCATAAAAAAGGATGAGTTCATGTCCTCTGTAGGGACATGGATGAAGCTGGAAACCATCATTCTGAGCAAACTATCACAAGGACAGAAAACCAAACACCGCATGTTCTCACTCATAGGTGGGATTTGAACAATGAGA